GATTGATCAGTTTCCCTTCATTTTTTATGGGGAGAAGGTTATGTAGAAATTCTGCTTAAATGAGAAATCAGGTTGCTAAAACTCATTGATCTATAATTTATAATTCTTCCATGAGCTAGTGATTAATGATGTGTTCCATACTCTCTCAGTGTGCAAAATAGACAAGTATTCTGTTATGAAAGTACTACTCAGAATTTTTCTACCACGTTTCCCTGAAAATAAGACAGGGTCTTATATTAATTTTTGCTCCAAAAATGCATTAGGGGATGTTTTATTTTTTTCGTGTACAACAATCTACATTTATTCAAATACAGTCATGTCATCTTCTGGTTGCTGCACAATGGTGGAGGGCGGGGTTTCATTTAACTGGGGCTTATTTTGGGGGTAGGACTTATACTATGAGCATCTTGAAAAAACCTACTAGGGCTTATTTCCAGGTTAGGTCTTATTTTTGGGGAAACAGGGTAATAATGCTGACTCTGGAAGGCACTGTATTCAGACATGGTCTGGATTAAATATAATTGTATTTGAAATGTTTAGAATCTGTAATTGCTGCTGTTCAGAATGCAAGAGCATGCAGAACTCAATGGAGCTACCATGTTTCCCCGAAAATAAGACAGGGTCTTATATTGATTTTTGCTCCAGAAAACCCAGCAGAGCTTATTTTCAGGGGATGTTTTTTTTCATATACAACAATCTACATTTATTCAAATACAGTCATGTCATGTTCTGGTTGCTGCACAATGGTGGAGGGTGGGGTTTCATTTAACTGGGGCTTATTTTTGGGGTAGGGCTTATATTAAGAGCATCTTGAAAAATCCTACTAGGGCTTATTTTCAGGTTAGGTCTTATTTTCAGGGAAACGGGGTATGTAGAATTTAGAGACAGGTGCTTACTGTGGTTTGGTGGAGTTCAGAGGATTGGGCTGCATGTGTTCCGTGGGCACCCTGGATTCCATGCCCCGCCTCATCCTGTGGGCACCCAGTCAGAAAAGGGGGTTGGGGCAGCACTGCTTCTGATGGGGCACTCGCTGGAGGAGGTGGGGCACCTGCGTAACACCTGCTGCCTCAGTCCTCTGCGCTGTCCCAAACCACAGTAAGTGGCCCTCTATAGCAGAATTTATTCAGTAATCCCTACTTTAGAGACAAAAGAAAGAAAATTTAGTTAGGATTGCTCTCCATTCTTGCTATAAATATGTTATGGGTAAACTCTTTTGTGAGCTTGCATGACAAAATATGAAGTTGTGTCTGATACAGGAAACATTGTTTTAAATGTGTTATAAAATTGCAAAACTATAATGAGTGTGGGATACATACATCTCCAAAGAATAAGTTATTGAGCAGTCAGTTTATTAATATAACTTTGCTATACTACACTTATTTCTCAAATAAGAATTAACAAAATGCAAGTGAACTTTTCAAGTTAAAAAATGGAAACATTCCACATATTTCATCTTAGGTTGATGGAAAATATAATGAATCCTATGAATAACACCATTGCAAATATAATTTTAATTATGCTTAGACCTAGCAAGGGAAATTAAAGAGAAACATTTGGATTTTAAGTGGGAGTTGAGCAGGAAATACGAAATATCAAGCCAAAAGTGCACTCAAGTCAAGTGAAACTATTGATCAGCAGTCAGAAGGAGGCTGCAGGATTATGTTATCTTCCATCCCACCAAAGTATCTTTTCATCACATGTTTTACTTTATATTCATATTCTTGATAAATTATCCTAGATGGTTTTTCACACAGTCATGTTGAAACGTGTGCCAGGTAAAAATGCCACACATACTGCTGGGAGGTATAAAAACAGTAAGGGTTAATGATACAAGAATTAATAATGAATTAATAAATAGAATTGGTAGCCATACTAACAGGGATGGTCATATGTTCTAGAAAGAGAAGAGATCACTCATGTCTGGTTCATATTGTTAGTATGTATGCCGTTGTGGCTGTACATATCACTTGGAATGGCAGTACACTTGCCTTTCCCATTAAATTCTTACAGTGCCTTCTGTAAAATCATTCTGCTTATAGATATGATCAGAACTACAATACAAATAAGTATCAATTGTGTATATATGGTATATTGCAGATAGATTAATTTATGGAATCCATCATCATCATCATCATCATCATCATCATCATCATCATCATCATCATCATCATCATCATCATCATCATCATTATCATTATTATTATTATTACCCTCCCTTTCTCCTTAAAAAGGCCCCAGGGAAGTATACAAATATTAAAAAGGAACAAACAAATACAGAACCACTCTGGGAAGTAGTAAACAAAACCAATATGAAAAATTGCTGGTGTAAAACTCTGGTCAAAAAGAAATAATCTGGCTGGCTTTCTTTTGGTCTTCTAGAGTTTTGTTAAAACTTCTTCCATGTGGTAGCATCAGAACTAAATTTCTTTCGCATTATGACATAATTGTAGTGTAGTAGCTTAACCATTACCTTAGAAATATTAGATAGGTTAAAAATGTGTAAATAAGTAATAAATAAAGAAGCCAGAATGTAGTTGAAAATTTGTAGGAGTGATAACTTCTGTGGCATAAATTTTGACAACAAACTGTTACAGTCTAAGGTGCATTTGATGCCCTGTATGAGTTATATAAACAGTACATGATAGCTAATGTGTATTCAAACTTCCTCACATGCAGCAATTTGTGGCTGAGATTGACACTAATGGACTTTTACTGTTGGCAGGGTGGATTTGATTTAAATTAAATCAATTTAAATCCCAGTTTAAATTTTAAAAATGGATTTTTGATTATTTAAATCAAAAATTGACTTTTTATTTAAATTGATTTATTATAGAAATTATTGATTTTTATCTGCCCTGACTGTTGGACATAAGTAATAGGGATCTGGCCAGGATATAGATGTAATGTTTCAGTTGGAAATCTGTCTTGGTCTCTTAATATTTGTGTTGCTAATAATGTAGATGATTGACATTTGTCAAATACTGTAAAAAAAACAACCACATACACATTTTCTTTTTCTTTTTTGTATTTGTGTCACTGTACAATTGAAAATAAGGAATAGTATAGTGAGTCAATATACCATTACTACCAACTCATATTCTTTACTACTAAAAAGTGATTGATAGAATAAAAGTTTGTGTGATTTCATTCATTTTTAAGTTTCTTGATTTGAAAAGCAGAATATTTGAGATTTTTAATAGATCTGAAGTGTTCACCCACTTCCTACATATGCCATCTCTCAGAAGACGGCCACTGCCAAACTCCTGCTCTAGTTTTGGGATTGTTTTTTGAACATATGAATATGTTCCTTCTCTTGGATTATGCCTCTATCAACCAAGGCAAACAGCTTTCCCATTTATACCGCCACTTTAATACTGCCAGGGCTAAGGATTGACTTCACACTGTATTTTTTAAAAGCAATAATGTTTTGGTGAAACATAAGCTTATTTTGGTGACAATGTATAAATCGTATGACATAGCATACATTAGTGTGTGCTGTGTCATACACTAATGTATGCTGTGTCATTATACATTAGTGTCAAATCTTGTTTCTGCTGTCTGTGGAAATTGTAAGCAGGGTTTGTAAATCAGAAAGAGCATTTGAAAACAAAAAGGAACAAAGAGAGTTCAGTAAACAAATTAAACCAAAATAAAGGAACAATGTTTCGTGCCATCAGTTTCTGAAATATAAAATCATAAACCTTTACTTTTTAAAACTTTACACACTTCCAATCCTGGTATGTGGGTGGGTAGGTAGGTAGGTAAGGTTTTTGTTTTGATACAATAATTAACAGTACTACACTATTATTCCCTGCCTCTTCACCATGGTCATTCTAACTCATATCACTCATTGAAAACAGTAATTAACCAATTGTCACATATCCACATTCTTATACAGAAAATAGAATCTCTTCAGCCAGGAACTACAGTGGTGCCTCGCTTGACAAGGATAATCCGTTCTGTTCAAATCGCTGTTAAGCAAAATCCTTGTCAAGCGAAATGAAAAAGCCCATTGAAACACATTGAAAACTGCTCAATGCGTTCCAATGGCCGAAATACCTTAGCATCCAGCGAAGATCCTCCATAGGGCAGCCATTTTCTGGTGCCTGTAATGCGAGGAATCCATCCTAAGCACAGCAGGGAGCCATTTTAAATAGCGGGTGGCCATTTTGAAAACTGGCAGTCAGCTGTTTTCTGATCGTTGTAAAGCGAAAAATCGGTTCCCGAAGCAGGGAACCAATCATCGTGAAGCAATTTTTCCCATTTAAAAAATCATTTTGTGATTGCAAAAGCGATCGCAAAAACTTCATCGTTAAGCGATTTCCTTGTCTAACGAGGTAATCGTCAAGCGGGGCACCACTGTATTAAGATTTGTCATCTTGGAGGTCCATTCATAAACATTTTTTCACATTTCTCAGCTGTCCTAACTTGAGCTCCTGACAAACACACCCTGCAACTGTCAGTCAACCTCAGTCCTTTCTGTGCAAGCAGATACAAACCTGTACACAGATGTGTGTGTGTGTGAATTGTGCAGTCACTTTGTGTGACTTTTCTGTGCTTTTAAAAAAATCAATGCCCTGTTTTCACTTCAAGATACTGTATATTGTAGCTATTTCTTCCTTAGCCCCCCAAAGACTTGTTAATACTCTACTTAAGTTCCCTAAATTTAAGAAATATTTTCCCAAGTCAGATATACTGTAGTACCTGCTTGCTTAAATAAATAGTACAATCAGTTTCAAACAGATAAAAAGACAGTTCAGATTTTTATTTGCAGACCGTCACCAAATGTTTAGGTTCCTAAAATCTTCACAGACCAGCATTACTAAATTAAATTTGCCAAACTGAATTACATTTCTGAATTGGAAAATGTGTTCAGGCCTATGCAGAAAGCTTTTATAAACTGGTGGTCTTTCTTAATATGGCTGTGCAAAGTCCTTGAACTGAAAAATAAATTAAAATCAATTGGTTAAAGTCAGTAACTGCTGCTTCTGTTCTCACAGTGTTGCAGGAGGGGAACTCTTTGATTTTTTAGCGGAAAAGGAATCCCTGACAGAAGAGGAAGCCACAGAATTTCTCAAGCAGATCCTTAATGGCGTTAACTATTTGCACTCTTTGCAAATTGCACACTTTGATCTCAAGGTATGTTGGAAATTTTAAAAAAATGACTGGGAATATTGCATAAAGCATCTCCTAGAATTCAGATATTCCAAACAAATGCCTAATAGTAATACAATTTAACATTTTGGAAAGAACAACTGTACATTGCAGGATATAAAAATACAAAGTATGGATGTATAGTGTAGAATTTAAAGATAAAATCAGTGTTTTTCCATAGCAAAAGTAATGTACAGTATTGTCTTATTCTTATTAATTTGGATGTTACTTTTGATTATACATTATGGGCTAAATAAAGTTGTTAGACCTGGGTAGAGTGGGTTCACTGAATTAACAGGATTTGTTAATGTAAGTCCCTTCTAACTAGAGGAAACATGCAGAACCAATGGGACTTTTATGAGCAGTTTCTTTTTAGTAGGAATCTTAACCTCATGTGTGTGTACATGAACATGTGCCTTGACTTGGTTTCTCAAAGACCCCATTTTATTTTAGAAGAGAGAGCCATAAATAGATTTCTAAAGAGATGAAATGATTACAGCATATGATCCTGAATTCTAATCTGAAAAAGACCATGTTTTCAAACTGAGTGTGTTTTGGATCTGTTCACACATATCATGTTTTTTCTTTAAAGCCTGAGAACATAATGCTGCTGGATAGAAGTGTACCAAAGCCTCGTATCAAGATCATTGACTTTGGCTTAGCACATAAAATAGACTTTAGCAATGAGTTTAAGAATATTTTTGGAACACCTGAATTTGTTGGTGAGTGTTTTTTCTTGATTATTTTGCTAGTGTAACACGTTTTTATTTCTTTTATTTATTTATTTGTTCCATTTACCCCACCCATCTAGATTCGGGAATCTATTTCTGGGCGGCTTACAAAGTTTAAAGATAAAAACAGCATTCGAATAACATTCATTATTAAAAACAATAAAAATTAATAAAGACAACAGGATAAAAATGGGAAAAGGAAGCTATGTAATGGGAGGGGGAAGGCCTGCCAGAAGAACCAAGTCTTCAACTTGTTTTTAAAAATTCCCAGCGAGGCTGCCAGTACTGTAATGTTTTCATTACAGTATTAAAGCAAGTAGTTTTCAGCTCTTGCAGAACTCACCTAAGATCTGAAAAAGTGGATCTTGATAACTCTCAGCAACTTGCAAGTGTCACATCTTAGGGCAAGGTACTGCTGCTCAAGGGATTTCTCCAACCAGGCATTTCTAAATTATACTGATATTTGTGTTTCAGTTTGGTTTCTGACACGCTACTGAAACTGCTTGCCTGTCCTGTGCAATGGGCATTTAATTTCATTGCCGTTTTTCTGGGTTGTTCCTCAGATTTGGAGGGCCTCTACAGGAGTTCTTTTCCTCCTCAAAGAACCAGTTCCAGAATATGGTGCTGGTACTGTTGTTGAGTGTGTTGACAGTTTTATACTACAGTGTTCCACCAGATGCCATATATTCTCCATCCTGTTTAATGCCTGCTGGAGTTGTCAGAGTTCTTCTTCGTGGTCTCTGCGAATGCATACTAATGGGTTAATCTGCACTCGTGTGGAACAGCCTCAGAACTTTCTAGCTCGAGCATATGGTGCTGGGACCTCCCACCCTGGCTATAACTCCACCCCTGGCACTGAGTGCTTCAGTTCCTTTCTTGCTGCTGCCGCTGCAGCGGCTTTGATAGGGACTTTCATGCGTACTTCTCTAACTTTACTTAGCTTTTCCTGATTTGCTTGGACCTCCCTGGCTTGATCTTGGACCGTTGACCCTTCTTCATCTTCATGAGTTAACTGAAAAAAGACTAAAAAAGGACTATTATTGCTTGTTACCAGCTTGAGGGTTTATGCCCTCGCTGGGCCTCTTCAAGAGGTCTGAGGTCTGTTCTAATAAGATTCCCCTCTTGGATGGTCACTCACGCTGTTTCTTTTGCCTTGGGGAAGAGCACCAGCTGACCCTCTGTGCTTTTTGTAAAAACTTCACTAGCCTGGCTTTGAAGTTGAGGCTACAACACCTTCGGTCCTATTTGTGGGAGAGGTCCCTGTCTCCATCTCAGGGTGCTCCTGTGGACTCTTCTCAGGCCGAACAACAGCCTTTGGTTGCAGAGTCTTTGGTTGCTGGGACCTCCCACATGGGGACGATAACCCCGCCCCTGGCACCAAGTGCCTCAGTTCCTTAGAACCGTCCGCCGCTGCACAGCATGCAATAGCATATGTGGCAGACAGCAGGGAGGAAGGGCGGGGAGTGTAAATTCACATATGACCACTTGCAGAAACAGAGTTACAGGTAGGTAACCTCTTTTTTTGTGGGTTGGGTGTCATCAGTGTGCTGATTGCATCCAACTTTGTTTCACTTTTACATCTAACCAAATGTAGTCATGTATCTCTTGAACACTTTTCTAGATCTCTTTATTAGTTATGATGAAAACTTTTATGTTATTAAATAAATCTCTTGCTTTTTGTTCTGTTGTTATCCTCTTCTATTTCTTTGCAGTGTTTGTTATATTAGTTTCTGTATGAAAAAGTTTATAAAGGTACATTTAGGATTCTAAATTCTTATTTCTGTCACCCTTAACTTTAGCTTATCACCTGTTTTTAAGCACTCTTAAGAACTTCCCTAGTTATCCATCAAGTTTTTCCTTTTCTTTTGAATGCAGGAATAGCCTTTGTGTTCTTCTTTGATTGTGTTCTGACTGCATTCCAGTTTTTCTGGTTTAATAGTTTGTGGAGCTTAGTAGTGCAAATGTCTTCTTTATATGGTCTTTAAATTCTTTAGGAATGTTTTTAACTTATATTTTGGTACTATGAATATTGTGTTCTTCAGCTTTACTGAAAATTAAATACTATCAGCAACTGCTATTATCGCTGTTTGCAAGGTACAACAAAATTCTGTTATATAGTAGTTTGATAATCATCTTAGCAATAATTTTTGTGGAAATAATACAAATGCTGGGAAACCTTGGAAGCCTGAACAAAAATACATAAAGCACATGTGGTCTATACTAGAGATAGGTGGTGTTAACGAGGGTCCAACCCCATGGGGCCAGATGGTCCACTCACTGATCTACCACAGACGCAGACAGTGTGATTCTATGAATGGCACCACAGCACACAATCCGTTCACCACTCCTTGACCTTGCAGCGAGGATTGTCCTCCTGCCAGGAGTAGCAAGCGGATCGCACACTGCAGAGCCATTCGTAGAATCACGCCATCCACGGCCGCAGCAGATTGGTGAGTGGACCGTCCGGCCCCATGGGGCTGGACCCTCGTGCAGGAATATTCGTATACGAATACCCCCCAGCTCTTGTCTACACTCCTCTCTGAAAAATTTAACATAAACTGGAAGTTATAAAAGGATTGACAATGAGAGAATTTTAAAGGAAAGTTGATGCTGTTAGCTTTAACAGTTAAGATGCGGTTAGCTTTAACAGTTAAGATTTTGCAACCTCTGAGAGTGGCAGAGGTTCTGTTTTTGAGTACAGAAGGCAAAACTTCCTTTGTGGTGGTTAGGATCATGATTGAAAACTATTAGGGGCTAAAAGGTAGACTTTTACAATCTCTTATGTATTATGATGTGTCGTGTGTAATATTATATGTTGTTTTTTATTAAATAAATAAATAAGAACTCACAAACATGTTAAAATAAGGGAAAGTGGTCCCAAGATGTGTTGCATTTCCAAAGTCAATACAGGAGTTTTGATTATGCTCAGAAATGAATTCAACATCATGCATCATTCATCATTTAAAAATACAAGTGAGATGGTCCAGTATGGTTTCTAAATTCTAACGTAGTTATTTCTAAAAGTCAGTCCTCTTCCTTATGGATTGCATTGTTTATAGAAGTAGAATACATTTTCTGCTATTTCATACGTTTGGTATATAAATACTCTTCTCAAATTATCTTTCTGTTTGCACTGTACAAAAGATTCTGTTTTTGTCTTGTAGCTCCTGAAATAGTGAATTATGAACCTCTGGGCCTTGAGGCAGATATGTGGTAAGTTTTCAGTTTTTCTAGCACTGGAATTGTTTGTAATTATGTTCTGCATATGTTCGAATATTGGTAAAGTTTTTTTTAACTCTTCTTACCTTTCTTTGCAGGAGCATTGGTGTAATAACATACATTCTGTAAGTACTGAAACTTAAATCTTTTTATTTATTATTTCAGGGTACAGATTCAACTTCATAGTTTCTCGGTCAGCGACCTCACTATCTAGTTGCAAGGAAAGCTGTGTATTTAAGCCACAGTGATTACAAACATAACTTATTTCTGTCCTTATTTTTAACATTATGGTTCATTCTGAAGCACATTTATCTGGTAATACAACCTATAGAATCTCGAATTATATGTGTGGGTTGAATAAAAGAAGAAAGATTATAAAAGGCTGATCATTATGAGAAAACAGAATGAAGGCCTTGTTTAGATCATAGAACTGTCACTTTTCTAACTACAGTAGCAGAACTGGTTACTTGGTTGGAGTGAAATTTCCTGTAAATTCATGCTATAGATGTGACCAGACCTTTTTTTTTCAGACTAAGTGGTACATCACCATTTCTTGGAGAAACAAAGCAAGAAACATTAGCCAATGTGTCTGCAGTGAATTATGACTTTGAAGAAGAATTCTTCAGTAATACTAGTGGTCTTGCTAAAGATTTTATAAGAAGACTTCTGGTTAAGGATCCAAAGTGAGTTCAATCCCCTTTTTATAATACTGACTGTATTTTCTGCTACTGAAATTCAGAGTATGGAAGTAGCTGGTAGCTGCACCAGGTCTTTCTGGAATAAGTGCCCTGTCTTGGGCTTTGACATGTTCCATGTGTATAATTTACACTTTAAATTCAGAAGGAAGTTATCTTATGAAGGCATGTTGTACTTTGCATGTTTTTGAAGCTATGTAAATATGTTGTAGGTGTGATAAACAGTGCCTCCATGAAGAACACATTGTAGCAGCTTTCTTAATTCAGTGCCCCTCTGATGTTTTGAACTGAAAACTCTCATACGAACAAATTAAGGGCGCTGAAGTTCCAGACATTTGCAAGGCACCAGCTAGGGAAACGCTGGCCTAGAGCTATTATGTTTTAGGAATTAGAGGTAGTTGGACTAGGGCCAGGAATACCTCTGTCTACGTTCCCCCTTAGGTTTAGAGCTTATTGATTAACCAGTGCCATTCAATGTCACACAATCTAATCTGCCTCACAGGATTACTGTATGGTTAAAAATGAAAGGGGAGACCTGAACATTGCCTTCAGTCCTTAACATTAACAAGGATGCTAATAGAACATGTGTTCTATTCTTTCTTCTTTTAAAGGAAGAGAATGACAATTCAAGACAGTTTGCAGCACCCCTGGATCAAGGTTTGTGTGCAAAGCTTAAATTGCAGTACTCTTTATCTCTCTTTTATTAGTGATATTTGTTTGCTTTTGTTTGTCTTCTGATGGAATAATAGGCTCAAATGTTTCTTTGTGTTTCATACCCCTCCTACACATATTGAGGATTGTTGCTTCTCTTCTCATTCCATCCAAAAATAGACCATGGAACATGCTATTTTTAAAAAGAAGATGTATTAGAGAGCGAGATTCCTTGCAAGTGACCAGTTCTTCTTCGTGGCCTCTGTGAATGCACACAAATGGGTTAGAGAGTGCCTGTGCGGGACTCCTCGGAATATTCTAGGACTTTCCCCTGTGGCACTCATGCTCCGCCCACCCATAATACCTCAGTTCCTTTTTGCTGCCGCTGAGATTGGACTACTTTATGAGTTCTAGAGTGAAATTCTTGTTGTATCCTATGGTTTTTGATTCCTGGACTGATTTACATTTACGATTACAGTCGTGCCCCACTTAACTATTGCCCCGCATTACAACGAATCCGCTTTATGACTATGTTTTTGCAATTGCGATCGCAAAACGATGGTCTAAATGGGGGAATTTCGCTTAGCGATGATCGGTTCCCTGATTTGGGAACCGATTTTCGCTTTACGACGATCAAAAACAGCTGATTGTCGGGTTTTCAAAATGGTCACCGGGTGCTTAAAATGGCTGCCCGCTGTGCTTAGGAACGGATTCCTCACTATACAGGCACTGAAAATGGCCGCCGTATGGAGGATCTTTGCTGGACAGTGAGTTTTTAGCCCATTGGAACGCATTGAACGGTTTTCAATGTGTTTCAATGGTTTTTTTAATTTCAAGAGTTGGCTGAGCAGAAAAAGCGATTTTCCTGAAACAGATTATTGTTGTTAAGAGAGGCACCACTGTACTGGATTTTGGACTTTGGATTGCACTGCATCTGATTCTACAGTTTTTGATATTCGGACTGGCAAATGTTGATGTTTATATGTAAGTTGATTTCCTCCCTTCCTCCCCTTCTTGTTCCCGCCAATTTTTATGGCCTCCTCAGGCCCTTACAAGTGCTGTACGTTGTGTGCCAATTAGCAAAGCTTGCTCTCAACCTCTGCTTACAGCAGCTCTGATAATATTTGTGGGGAAAATCCCTGTCACCCTCAAGCCCGGCAGCCATGGAGCCTACCATATCTCATGCACTTCTTGCTCCTCAACCATCAGCTCCTGCTACACCTTATCTGAGAGCCTGTTCGAAGGCACCTTGTTATCGACATTGGCATCGGTGTCGAAATCGCCATCACCGAAAGATCCTAAGAGAAAGAAAGAGTTGGCTGAGCAGAAAAAGTACACACAATCCTCTAAATCTACTCAACCTGGGGACCTCCCTCCGGGTTGAGTTTCTCTTCCGTCTTCGATCCTTGAAGAATCGTCCAGGGACTTGCTGGATCTGGACTCTCCTTCTGAGGCGGGCAATTCAGTATCACCTCAACAGGCTCAGGCTTCAGTATTGATACTAAGCCTGTCTCCGAGTCATGGCCGATCTGAGGCTGATGTAATATCCAGCCCAGCCTTGGCCCATTCAAGCCCTATGTCTATCGGGCGGGCAACAGTAATGCAACTCTCTAATTCTGAGGCATCATCACAGCAGTCTCCTTCATGTAAGTGACTGGCCAAACGTCACCATATCTCTCCACATTGGTATCTTATTTCTCCACCTCGACAGTACCAATAACATAGGGAGGTTATACTTCTTCCTTGTCCGTCCCGACATCATTCAATCTCAGAGTATGGGGAACCCTTTTATGTTGAATTTGACCAATGTGGTGATCAACCAGTGATGTGTTCAATCCCTATTATGACACTGGCGACTATGTGAAATCTAAATGAGCTATGTTTATGCCTCCCCCTCTGAATTTTCTCAGTCACCATCACCTCCACCGCCTCAACATTGATATCAAGCATATTACCAGCTCGACCCTCCACCGTCGAAGTCTGCGACCAAACGCCTCTTGCCTCAGCAGGAAGCTTCCCAACAAGAAGTTTGCCCCTTGAAGTGCTCCTGTGCCCCATCAGTACCATCATCCTCAATATCACACCTGAGGACATCTCATTCTCCCACCCGTTCTTCTCGTCAGGGTGCAGTTTCCAAAAGTTCCCACCCATCTGAAACTGACGCTCCAGTATCAGCTTCTCGAGCTCCAGCCTCCATATTAGTTGTTATCACTCGCCATCTCCTCCTCTTTCTTTTACCAGAGGCTCCTTAGTGTTGACAGTCTCTGAACAAGATCCACCTTCAGAAACATCCAGAGAATCCCCTTCAAATATGCCAACTCCTGATTCGGAGGTAGCTGACCTCCATCCTCCATCACTGTCTGAAGATTTTACTTCTTACTCACAATTAATTCTCTGCATAGCAAAATCATTAGAGCTTGATATAGAACAACTTCCTCCTCCCAAACAGGACCTCATCTTCGACAACATAAACCAAGAAAAATCCCCCCCCACTAAATTTGGCATTCATTCTGGCTATGTTAGACCTCATAAAGGAGTCGTGGGATAAACCGTCTACATCTCTTCAAATCTCTAGGCGTCTCGAAAATCATTATAGACCTTCATGCCTCACCTTCTAGTTAGCCGACCTTTCCATCCTCTTCAACTGATGGCCCAAATCACAACAGACGCCAGCCCAACAGGCTGGGGCGCACACTGTGGCACTCACGAAATCCACGCCCTGCGGTCCAGCTCGGAAAAGCTACTACACATCAAACGTCTAGAGATGCTGGCAGTTACCAAGGCTTTTTGCACCTTCTATCCGCCATAGTGTCGCAGGGTGCAGGTGGCCTCGGACAACATGACGACCCTGTATTATATCAACAAGCAGGGAGGCACCCACTCATCCCTACTATATTTAGCGATTCATCTTTGGGAATGGTGTTACGATCACCATATTTTTCCAGTTGCCATTCACATATCTACAGAAGACAACAATGTTGCCTACTGTTTGAGCTGTCTTACCACTCAAACTCACAAGTAGGAGCTTGACGACTCTGTATTCTCCCATATCAGCAATTGGTGGGGAACACCAACCATCGACGTGTTTGCCACCCAGACCAATTCAAAATGCAGCAGGTATTGCTCTCGGGCAGGAAGAGGCAAGAACTTTCTTGGCAATGCCTTCATAGTGAACTGGGACAATGTTCTTTATCTGTTTCCTCCCATCCCACTCATTCAGTGAACATTAGTCAAGCTCCATCAGCTTCGGGCCAACGCCATTCTGATAGCCCCTTGGTAGCCTTGGCAACCCTGGTTTACCCTCCTCAAAGCCAAAGCTTCTGAGTTTCTGAGACTACCTCCCCAACCATCCCCCCTGACCCAGGATGGCGGCAAGATCTGTCATCCCAACCTGGAGTCGCTCCACTTTACAGTGTAGAGGATTCCCCCTATATAGCAGACATCTTGAACAGAGCTAGAAAACTCTCTTCCAAGTTGTTGTACTCTTACAAATGGAATGTTTTCTCCAAGTTCACTGTCCCCAGAGGTCTAGCCTATTCCAGCTAGATTGGATACTCTTCTCAGCTTTCTACGTTACCTATTTAACCGGGGCTTGGCTCACTCTATGTTAAAGGTTTATATTTCCACTGTTGTTGCTTATCAGCCTGTGGGTTCAGAAGTTTCCCGTTCTCACACCCAACTTTAAAGAGGTTCTTAAGGGGCCTACATAACATTCACCCACCTGTCCAACCTCCACTCCCACAATGGTCTCTCCAGGTCATGTTAAGGGAACTGGCCCCCCCCCCCCCCGTTCGAGACCCTGGCTTCTACTCATCTTAAGCTTCTCTCCTTTAAGACGTTATTTCTTGTTGCTATAACTTCTGCACGATGAGCTAGTGAGTTGGCTGTCCTTCGGGCTGATGCCGCTTATATACACTTCCACCCAGACAAGGTCGTATCTGGACGTATCCTTTCTTCCCATGGTGATCTCAAACTTCCATGTTAATTCCATGTAGAATTTGTCATTTAATTAATAATTTTGTGTTATATTTATTTGTCGTTTTTATGTATGTATTTGGAAGCCACCCAGAGTGGTCGTAAGACCAGATAGGCGGGATAATAAATGAATGAATGAATGAATGAATGAATGAATAGATGTCTAATTCTCCTAACGTTGTTTCCTATCCTTCTTCTGATGTTGAACGCATGCTCCATTCCTTGGATGTTCGACATGCCTTAGCTTTTTACATTTTCAGGACTAAAGACTTCTGCTCTTCTCCTCTAAACTATTTGTCGGCTTCCATGGCCCACAAAAAGGCTCTCCTGCCTCCTCATAGATGGTTTCCAGGTGGATCATTTCTACTATCACCTTAGCCTATGAACTGGCTGGCAAAGTACCACCAGATGTATTAAAGGCACACTTCACAAGAGCTATGGCTACTTCACCTGCCTGGCTACGTGGCATTTAAGTCTTAACACCTGTCGAGCGGCCACTTGGTCTATACCATCGACCTTTGTGATGCATTACCATCTGGACATCAGGGCCTAAAAGGAAACAAGTTTTGGAAGGGCTGTGCTGGCTTCATTGATGGCGTGACGACCCTCCTTCCGGTAAGGGAGCTTGCTAGTCACCCATTTGTGTGCATTCACAGAGGCCACAAAGAAGAAAGAGAGGTTACTTACCTGTAACCGTAGTTCTTCGAGTGCCCCTCTGTGAATTCATACATCCTGCCCATCCTCCCCGCTGTCCATCACTTGAGCTCTTAAACTTTGTTACAGTCAGAGCCTTGACAGGGGTGGGCATTTCGGAACTGAGGTATTAGGGGCGGGCGGTGCATGCATGCCACAGGGAACGTCCTACTAATGACATGTTCTTAAGCTCTAGAATATTCCGAGGAGTCCTGCACAGGCACACTCTAACCCATTTGTGTGGATTCACAGAGGACCATTCGAAGAACTATGGTTACAGGTAAGTAACCTCTCAATTTTGAATATTGATTCTTATAATATGCCTGTTTGTTCTAACCCAATAATGAAATATGTAACCCAGTGAAATTAGGATGTGACTCCAATGATCCACACTTCATAAAGTACTCATAAGAGAAAAAAAAAGTTGTAGCTGTATGCATCATCAACACTTGTATGAGGTTGTTAGTTAATGGATTTAGTTGGCCAGAAAACATATTCTGTGATCTTTCTCTTTCATTGTGAAATACTTTCATAATGTTGTTTTGATTTCTTAACAGCCTAAGGATACCCTACAGGCACTTAGTAGAAAAGCATCTGCAGTAAATATGGAAAAATTCAAAAAGTTTGCAGCTCGAAGGAAATGGAAAGTAAGATTGAACAGTTATTAATTATACTATGGTATGGTTTTGCATCTATTACAGCAGTGGTTTCCAGCTTTGGATAACCCAGGTGTTCTTGGACTGCAGTTTCCAGGAGCTTTTACCACCAGCTATAGTGGCCAGGGTTTCTCGGACTTGCAGTTTAAGAACACCTGGTTACCCAAGGTACAGTACCACTGTATTGCTGGCTTCCTGTTTACAAGAGGGAAAGTGCTATGTAGCAGAGCAATTTGGGAAACAGGGAGGTTATCAAATCTCTAGTGATGCAACAGGCAAAGCAGCTGTGTGTTTAGTGAGGACACAGGAGAGGGCTTTCTGTGTTGCTGCTCCCAGACTTTGGAACTCCCCCTCACAGGACGCCAGGCTGGCCCCGTCTTTGCTGTTCTTCCAGAAGCAGGTGAACACTTTTCTCTTCAGGCAAGCTTTCCCTTAATGAATGGCTGCCTGAATAGTTTTTTTTTAGTAGATTGTTGTGCGTACTTGCTTTGAATGTGTTTTGGTGTTGCTTTCCTTGCTGGTTTTTAATGTGGTATTTGATCCTTTTTAGTATTATGATACTTACTGTTGTTAGCTTTAAATGTTGTCTTTTTTAAATGTAAGCTGCCTTGGGTCCTGTTTAAGGAGAAAGGTGGGGTAAAAATATCTTTTAAAAATAAAATACCTCCTCAGAAAGCATGGCTCCCTCTCCTGCCAGCCATTCAGAGAGCTATTTAGTCTTGGCTGTGATTTTACCAGGAGGATTTCAGAATGGGCTCACTGTGCTCTTCAGCTGGTCATCAGTTTTCTTGTTACAGTGGTCCTGCAGGCTTGTTTGTTTGTTTACCTCTGGAGTGGTATTGGTAACAGGCAGGAGTAATGTGCAACATTTCTACTATAGTGGTGAAACTAAGAGGATGGACAAAAACTAGCAAGGAGTGTCCTGAAAACGGAGAATGAAAGATATATATGCCGATTCGGTAGGAAAAAAAGAAGTACAGGATACCTAATTGCCATGGTGGTAATTCTGTGGCACGAGTGAGCCAGCAACGAACCCAAAAGTGGGAAAAATCAATAAATATAAGAAGCCTATGTGTATGTGTTAATGACTTCAGCCTTGTAAACATTTGTTCCAAGTTTTTCATAGATTTAACTCTTATACCACTTTCTAATATAAGGCACTACAAAGAGATGAAAGACTTAAATTATACTAGAAAAATTTCCTTTAACTTTTCCTATGTTCACTTAAATATTTTTCTTTTCTGTTACAAAGCAATCTGTACGCTTAATATCGTTATGCCAAAGATTATCAAGATCGTTTTTGTCCAGAAGTAACATGAGTGTGGCAAGGAGTGATGACACTCTGGTAAGTGAATGGAGAAGGACACAGGCAGATGATTAAACTGGCAGGCCCTCATTCGTCTTAGCCCTGACTGCAGCAGTACCTCAGCTCATAGATATTGGAGGGTTTCCCTACCGCCACCACCTTCTCCTTGCCCTACTGCCCTTATTTAAGCTATCTTTGATGTGATACCCAGTCAATATCTGCCCTATTTGCCCATTGCCCTATTTTGGGTTACGGCAAGAGATCCAGGAGATGAGAGGGGAAGCTGTTTCAGATTCACCAAGCCTCTGGCAGGCAGCAGACATGGTTCAATGGAGAGGCTTAATTCAGGGGTGTTGTAGACAAATTCCCCAGGATCAGGTCTTTGGATCATAACACTGAGAACCTGAAAGAATCAACCCTGTCTGTCACTTGCATTATGTAAATAATGATCTAGATCAATGGTTCCTAACCTTGGGTAACCCAGATGTTCTTGGACTGCATCTCAATAACTTTTATTGAGCACAGCTGGTGGTGGAGGCTTCTGGGAATTGCAATCCAAGGCCACCTGAGTTACCCAAGGTTGGGCACCACTGGTCTTGATAAAAAGATTGTGAGAGGAGGATTTCCACATCCATGAACCTCAGTTTTCATAGCTGTTTATGCTGTTGTGTGGTAGAACTAAGCTCTTCATGTTTGGCTTGCCAAGAGTTTGAAAAATTACTACTGCAAGGATTTTTAAATCTTGCTGCAGGAACTCTTGCTGCACAAGAGTTAAAATATGGTTTTCGATGTTTTCTTCTTTCCTTCAGTCACCTACTGCAGTTTTTGTTCATATGTAGTGACACACTATCATTAGTTTAAACCAGGATGTGGATGCTCACAAATGCACCAAAAGAGAACAGGGAGAGGTATTACTAAATCTAGTAGTCTGTGGTTTATATGGTGTCTTCCCCCCATACTACTAAACTATGTTTTAGTGGAACAGCCAAAGAGTGCTATTATATTAATAGGTCTTATGTATTCGTCTTATTATTGTAACTTATTATTCTATTGGAAGAAATATTGTGAAGACAATATATACAGTTAATCTTCAAAGCTTTTACTGTGATGACAGGTATTGATTCGGGAAATGAATTGAGTGGAGAACTGAAATTCCGAAGTGGCAAATCTATCTTTATACAGTGGTACCTCGCAAGACAAATGCCTCGGGCAACGAAAAACTTGCAAGACGAAAGCATCTTGCAAGTTTTTTGGTGCCCCGCAAGGGCCCCATAGGAATGCATTGAAATTTTTCCCATAGGAATGCATCGAAGTTTAATTAATCCATTCCTATGGGAATTTTTTTTAAAAAAATCACTTACCAGGTAGGGAGCTGGGGAAGCACCATCGGAGGACTGGCAGGGGTCTCCTGCAACCGCGATCACCGCTTTCAGAGGTCCCCCGGCAGTCCTCGGATGGTGCTGGGCAAGTCTTCCCCAGCACCATTTTTGAACTTCCCGCCCTTTTCACCTGCCTTTTTCCTTTAGGAGGCTTGCCGAGCACCATCTGAGGCAAGCCTCTGAAAGGAGAAAGGCAGGGGAAAAGGGCGGGACGTTCAACAATGGTGCTGGGGAAGTCTTCAGAGGCTTGCCCAGCTCCATTGGAGGACTGCCGGGGGACCTCTGAAAGCGGCAGTTGCGTTTGCAGGGGACCCCCGGCAGTCCTCCGATGGTGCTTTCCCAGCTCCCTATCTGGTAAGTGACTTTAAAAAAGAAATCCCCATAGGAATGCATTAATTAAATTTCAATGCATTCCTATGGGAAAATTCACCTTGCAAGACAAAAATTTCGCAAGACGGCATGTCTCGCGGAATGAATTATTTTCATCTTTGAGGCACCACTGTACACAAATTGCATGTTTGAAGAAAGAATTTTCGTATGTGTTAAGAAAATGCTTTCCTTTGTTCAACACCTTTTAAATAGTTATAAGTACAGACCAAACATTTTTTCATGAGTTTTAAAAGGTTTAGACATCAAAAATTCTGCAGAGTGATACTTTAATGTGCCCAATTCCCCTTTGCCCTTTGGCTGGCTTTCATATTTCTGTGAATAAAATCTTTGTTTGTTGATGTGCTGTTACTTTTTAATGCTGAATTAAGTATCTTTACATTTACCAAATCATGTCTGTCATAAAGAGGGCTGCAGTTTTGTGCCACTGAGATTTAAAACACAGGCAAAATCAAGATAAGATAATTGCAGCAATTGTGTGGTGTTACGAATCTATCACTGTTGAGAAACACATACTTTTAGTTTGTTTTGTTTTGTTTTTGCAGAAAAAACAATTTGTTCTTAAACTATGAAATTCCAGGAGGAATTTCATAAGCAAAAACATCTCTTTTAAAATGTGCAGTAGTTAATATGGATAGATACAGAAAAAGGAGATTTCATTAGAAATGCTGAAATTTTTCCCAAGCATATGCAGATATTTCATTGGCTTATACACACCTCACTGGGAACCAAAGTTATATTGTGAAATTATAGTATATTGCTTTGACTATTTTGCTGTCTCCATACCTCATCAGGGAGGTCCCCCTCCACCAAACTAATAACTTTTATTAAGCTGAATCTAAATTTCATCCCTAATTAGAGTAGACCCATTGAAATGGATGGAATGTACAGTACTATTGACAAGCCCATTCATTTCAGAAGGTCAGGTTGGGATTAAAATTGGATCTAGCCTTTTTATATCCTGCTCCCCCTCCAATCCTCACGTTACACTTCTTTTTTGGTTGATTTCTAAGGATGAGGAAGATTCATTTGTAATGAAAGCCATCATACATGCCATCAACGATGACAATGTTCCTGGTCTTCAGCACCTTCTGGGATCTTTGGCCAATTACGATGTCAATCAACCAAACAAGGTATGTTGTTATTGTATTGTTGCTTTCTTATTAGATTAACTAATGCATGATGATCACTTTTGACTGACAACAAGAATAATCCAAAGATTCATGAGGTTTCCAGTACCAGTTGGGAAAGTTGTACGAAAAGGGTTGTAAAGTAGTGTACTTGGTTTAATTTTTGAAAGCTTTTGAATTCTTCATGGTCTGTGTCTGAAAGCTTTGCCTTTATAGCTACTGTATATCTAAAACACTACTGAAGGGTATGTAGCCCTCTGTAAACTTTGAGACCCATCGGCATAGCCAGTGAGTGATAAGAGACGATGAGAGTTGTTGTCCAGCAACACCTGAAGAGCAATACTCCCAGCAGTGGAAACAAAAGGATGTTTTTATGTGTATCTTTGAATTAGTCTGAAATCTAGGATGCTATCCTATGCTGTGGAGTCTACCACAAACTGAAGAACAATACATTCCTCACCTTCCCTTTTGCTGATTTTCACTTCTGTTATTTTATTCTGTTCCATCCTGTTTTATATTATTATTGTTTACTAAGTGTTTCTGGTGGTATTAACAGATTTGTATAAGTAGAGTGATTTAGCAAAAGCATCCGTTTAAAATGTGTTCCACTGGCTAAGAAGAGTGTCATTGTTATGTTTTTTCTTTCTTTGTAGCATGGAACACCTCCATTTTTAATTGCTGCTGGATGCGGAAATATTCAGATGCTTCAGTTATTCCTGAAGCGAGGTGCCCGCATTGATATTCAAGATAAGGTAAGGATATTAAATTCTGATAATTAAATATCTTAGGTACCCTACATTTTAGAAAAAAGAAGTCAGGTGGAGTGTTTGTTTACATTTTTGTAAACAAACATTCTCTAATATAAACATTTTCATTCTTGTATATTGTCAGTTTTGAATTCATTTGAATTGACCTTTATATTAAATCATTTCTAAAGAATATGTTTTAAGAAGTTTCTGGAATGCATTTGCTTAAATTGAATGAAGATTGTGACAAATTTCCACAATATTTGTATGATCTTATTGATTGTGGTCATCATATATTTTGGACAGGCAGGATCTAATGCAATCTATTGGGCATCTCGTCATGGTCATGTAGAAATTCTGAAATTTCTCCATGGAAATAAATGTCCTTTGGATGTGAGAGACAAGGTAAGGGCAAAGGATTTAATCTCTTGACATTCTTAACATAATTTTTTTAAGTATATGACTCATCCAGTGTTCAGTTTTACAGCACGTTACAGTGGCTGAAATTGTATTGTTCCGCTCCACATGTGCAGTTGAAATGACATCACCTGCAGCAGTAAAATTGCCACTGACTAAAGGCTTTCTTCAGTGATTTTTGGGTGCACACGACTTTTACACACTGCCATGAAGTCACATTCATCCTGAAATCACCAGTGGAAGCCTTTAATGAGTAGCAGTTTTGTGCTGATGATGATATTGTTCCTGTTGTATACATGTATGTATGTATGTATGTATGTATGTATGTATGTGTTTGTTTGTTTGTTAGATTTAAACCACGCACCATCTAGTAACCAGACCATTCTGGGCGGCTAGCAACAATATAAACAGCAATATTAAAACACAATAGAAAATAAAATAATGCATAGCAACAAGATAAATTAAAACAGATGGCAATGAAGGTAATAAAAGAGTGATGAAAAAGATGGCAAAAAGGATGGTAAAGGGCCCCCTGAGATTTTAATGGTCAGGGAAAGCCTGGCGGAACAGCCAAGTCTTCAGTGCTTGTTTGAACCCATCCAGTGAGGGTGGCAGGCAGATCTCAATGGGCAGGTTGTTCCACAAGCGTGGAGCGACCACCAAGAAGGACTGGTTTCTTGTTCTTTCCCTCCAGGCCTCCTTCAGGGTCAAAGCCCTCAACCGCCCTGCCTGTGAAGAACAGGTATGACGGACGGATCTGGCTGGGAGCAGGCGTTCTAATAGGTACTGAGGTCCTAAACCGTTTAGGGCTTTGAATGTTATCATCATAACCTTGAAGTCGATGTGGAATGAACCGGCGGCCAGAGTGGGGGAGATATCACCCCAGTTATTAATCAGGCTGCTGAATTTTGGACCAGTTCAAGTCTCTGCATCAGCCTCAAGGGTAGCCCCATGTAGAGAGCACTGCAATAGTCTATTCTTGAGATTACAAGGGCATGAATCAGTGTCGTGAGTGCCTCCACGTCTAGATAGGGATGCAACTGGGCAATCCTCCGAAGATGGAAATGGGATGCCCAGACCACAGATGCCACCTAGGTTTCATGGTGAGATCCGGATCCAGGCAGATGCCCAAGCTGCTAACCTCACTCTTCGTGGGAAGAGTCAGTCTCCCAAAGGAGAGGGAGCTTCCCAACCCACTGACGTCAGGGCCACCCACGCACAAGGTTTCCATCTTGTTTGGATTCAACCTCAGTCTATTTGCCCTCATCCACTCCAGAATGGTCCCCAAGCAGCATTCAAGGGTCAGAAGAAAGGAGAGGTAGAGCGGGTGTCATCAGGGTACTGATGGCACCAGGCTCCACAACTCCAAATTATCTCACCCAGCACCCTCATATAGATATTAAATAGCATTGGCAAGATGATCGAACCCTGCAGAATCCCACAATTGAGGATCCATGGAATGGAAGTCATCTTGCCAAGCTGCACTCTCTGGGGACGGTCCTCCAAGAAGGAATGGAGCCACGCCAAAGCGAGGCCACTGATCCCCAACTCAGAGAGCCGGAACAGGAGGATATTGTGGTCAATGCTATCAAAGGCCGCAAAGCTATCGAGGACCAACAAGGACATATTGTCCCTGTCAGCCTCCCTCAGGAGGTCATCCTGCAGGGCGACCAATGCTGTTTCTGTACTATGCCGCATCCTGAAGCTCAACTGGAATGGATCAAGGGCATCAGTTTCCTGGAGCTGATCAGCCGCCACCCTCTTGACAACTTTACTCAAGAAAGAAACATTGGTGACAGGCCTATAATTCCCAGTTTCATCCGCCGCCAAAATAGGTTTCTTTTGAATGGGCCTAATGAGTGTCTCCTTGAGGGCAGGGGGAACCCTGCCCTCCTGGAGAGACCGATTAATTATTGCAGAGGCCCATTCTGTTGTTACCAGCTTGGCTGCTTTGATGAGCTAAGCCGGACAAGGGTCTAAAAAGGAGGTGGTGGCATGACAGTGCGCAAGCACCCTGTCCACCTCATTGGACGTCACAGGTTGAAAGCAAGTTAACCTCGCTGGACAAGATGATGCACTGGACATCTCAGCTTGATCTACTGTCTGTAGAACGGGACGAAGGTGCTGGTGGATGGCCTCCACTTAGATTTTTAAAATGCTGCAAATTGGTCACATGAAATACTAGAGGGAGGCCTATCACTGTGGTCAACTCCGGATAGATTGTGTACTATATGAAAAAGTTCCGCCTGTTGGTTGTGAGTTTCACTTATCTGATCAGCGAAGAATGCTCTTCTAGACATGATCCTGGTGGTTTTTAGATTAATTTCCATCAGGGCCTTTCTCCAAAAGCTCTGTAGCCTTCTCCGATTACGCTTCATGGCCCTCAGCTGCTGGGTAAACTATGGAGCGGGTCAGGCTCGGCAGCAGAAAGAGCGTTTAGGGGCGATCATGTCGACCACCCTGGTGTCTGCGGTATAGCAGCCATCCACCAGAGCATTGACAGGAGCACCAACCAAGTCACCTGGAATCCCCTGCATGGTATCCATCAGGATCCAGTAACCTGCGGGGCGGACCATCTTAATGGGACCAAGCTCCCCGCGGGAGGGAAGTGCCACTGAGAGGCTGCATTTAATTAGGTGGTGATCCAACCATGACAAGGGGGCCGATATCAAGTCGGCCACCATCGGAGCACACTCTCTCTGTCCAGCAGCAAAGACCAGATCTAGCATATAGCTGTCCACGTGAGTAGAGCCATTGACTTGCTGGGTCAAGTCCAAGGAAGCCACGGTTTCCAGGAACTCATGAACTGGACCGGAAACCTCAGCCTCTGCATGAATGTTGAAGTCCCCCAGAACCAATAATCTGGGGGACCTCAACAGCACAGCGGAGATGAAATCTGCCAGCTCAGGCAGGGGAGTGCGGTATGCCAGCATAATCTCAAAGCCATCCCTGGCCGCAAATGACACATGGGCAGCCTCTAGATCCAGGTTTGCCACCGCAGAGGGCCTAGCAGCCTCAAAGATGTCCTTAGAAACAGTGGCAACTCCCCCCGCCCACCCGGCCGGTCTGCCCTGGTGTTGGATGGCATACCCACGTAGGCATATGAGGGAAAGAGTAGCTCTGTCCTCAGCACCCACCCACGTCTCAGTTATACAGGCCAGGTCTGCCCGTTCCTCAGGGATCAAGTCCTGGATGAGTTGGGTTTATTGTGGGCAGACCTGGCATTTATCAACACCGGGGACAGAGAGGCAGGCCAGCTAGGCTGGTTACCTAGGTTTGAACAGATGGCAGCAGAGCTAGAACATGGGACAGGCTTCAAACATCTGTCTGCTGTTCTATGTTTGATCGCTACTGCGCCAACACCATATCTCCCCCCGCTTGTAATTACCTGTATATTAGAAGCACCCTGACATCTGTCTGCTGTTCTTCTATGTTTGATCGCTACTGCGCCAACACCATATCTCCCCCCGCTTGTAATTACCTGTATATTAGAAGCACCCTTACTGGAATAACAGGCGTTCCACTCCATTGTAGGAAGAGGAGAGAGGGAGGAAAAACCTTGTACCCAACCAGAGAAGGAAAAGTTAGAGACCAGGATCAGAACCAAGTGCCGAACTTGGAATCTCCTAAAATGGCCAATGCTCCCTCCAGCACCATATCACCCCTTCCCTGTCACCACCAATATTCCATTATGCCCTGACATAATCAACTCTCCAGGCTGATCAGCAATCACCAGACCTTAATTCCACATAGGCGGGAGCAAAAGAGAGTAAGAGAGAGAGAAAAAAGGAAAGGGAAAAAAAGGAAATTCTCACCACACTTAGTCTGTAAACTAAAGAAAAAGGTCTGTAAACTACTAACAACTAAATTTACACAATAAGACTTAAAAGTAGGGACTAACCAGAAATGTACAATAAAGTGAAATAACAAACAGGTACATACAGCAAAGTATATTAAACAAAAGAAAGCCTAAGTGTCAGCTAATTGTGTAGCTGTACAACAGGATTTCAGGCAGTATTTTAAACCAATAAAAAGTTTTTCAGTTTACAGTAATGCCTCGACTTACAAACACCCCTATCTATGAACATTTCAACTTATGAACAGCTCCGCTCGCAACATTTTGCTTCGGCTTGCAAGCAGAGCTTCGATGTAAGAACAGAAAAAGGCAGGGGGAAAAGGTGGGAAATTCAAACGGTTGGTGGCGAAGAAGTTGCTTCTTTGTAGCTCTTTCCCCCAACGGTTAGAGCAGGGGGTCAGGGAACTTTTTTACTCCTGCAGGGCAGGAGGAGGAAGGAGAGGCGGGGGCAGCTCCAGATTGCTACCAGGCATGGGAAACCAGTGTACTCCGTGCCCATCCTTGGTGCAGGTCTACTCATGAGTAAGGCCCGCTGAAGGTGCGGGTCTACTCATGGGTAAGGGTCACCAAAGGTGCTGGTCTACATATGAGTAAGGGCCCCCAAAGGCCCTGGGCTGGGGCGCTCGGGTCAGACGGGTTCCTCCATGGACGGGGCATTTAGCGGCGGCGCAGGAGGAGGAAAGAGAAGCGGAGCTTGATGATGATGATGATGATGACAATAATGATAGTGATAATAATGTGCCATCAACTCAATTCTGGCTAATGGTGACCTCTTTTCACATTTTTCCAGGTAGATAATATTCAGAGGTGGTTTACCATTCCCTTCTTCTCAGGGCACCTTGGGACTGCAGATTGCCCAAAGCCACACAGGGTGGTTCTACTTGCAGAAGGCACAGCAGGGAATCAAATATCCAGCCTCTGGTCCCATAGTCAGATATCTAAACCACTGAGCTATCCAGCCAGCTGTTTAATATATATACTTAAGTGATACATTTCAGAATTCAGGTCAATAATAATTGTATGTGATAATCTTCTAATTACAGTCTGGAGAAACTGCGCTTCATGTGGCATCACGGTATGGTCATGTTGATGTGGTTCAGTACCTGTGTAGCATTGGATCAAATCCAAATTTTCAAGATAAGGTGAGTAGCACGTAATAAATCCTTTTCTTCCTTTTAAAAAAGAAAAATCCTTACAATGCTATACTTGAAAGTTGTGTTAAAACATATTTTAATAAAGTATCATAATTTTTTTCACAAAACTTTTTAATAAACACAGGAAGCTATCTTACACTGAATCAGGTATTTCCTAATGTAAACTGGCAACAAGTGTCAGCGATTTAAGATGGGTCATCCCAATGCTGCCAAGAGATACAAGAGTTGAATTTGGGACCATTTGTGTCCAAAGTATTTGCTCAATTACTTAATTGTGGCTTTTCACCTTTTATTAAGCTGATTAATTGATTCAAACAATGTTATAGCTTTGCCTTTATCATTGTTTGTTTGTGAATGTGTGAAAAGTTCTGACTTAGCCTTAGGCCCTCTGTCACACAGTGAAACATGATATAGCCATCCTCAGGTTCATAACCTGGAGCTCTGTTTCTTCTTTCATTCTAGTCATAGAAACTATTGCCTGCTGTATTTGGCCATTGTGGGTTGGTTGAGATACCTTGTATGCGTGCACAGATTACTTGATTGAAATACTCCAAACTGAACATTCTGCAATACATGTTAATGAAATGTGATGGCTACACCATCCTCATTGTGATTGTTCTGTAAGAATGTAGTTGAAATAACTTCTCAGGCCATTTTCAAGATATTCTGTTTTCCTTTTAACAAAGCAGTAAAAAATTTGCTACACATTGTTCAAGTGGTAGAAACCATTTAATCATGGCGATATCAATCATATCCTTCTAGGTTTTGTTCATATGTTAATACTTGTGTGAAAATAATGAGTATATGTAAAGAAAAACATTCCAATGTCTTCATGGGTTGCATTGGGACATGACTGTAGGTTTATTCATGATGTAAATCTCTTTGTAAGTCTTGGGGGATATTTGTGAATGTGGAAATGCAATTTAAACTGGTCACCATGCACAACTCTCTTCTCACAGTTAATGTATAAAAGGGGCCACCATAAAATACAAAACTGAAAATGTGGTCTAGGTAGAATGGAAATAGTTTTAGAAGAGAGAGCTGTATTAGTCTATGCTAGCATATCAGTCAAAGATTGATTTAATAAGCGTCACCGTGAGTCAGCGGTGGCTTGATGGCACATAACAGCGTCAAGATTTGCAGAAAAAGTGCCCAAACAAAACCAGTAGAATAATAATAATAATAATAATACACATCCTTTGTGGCACATTAAAGAGTACCATATTTTTCCATGTATAAGATGCTACTTTTTCCTAAAATAGACTAAAAATTGAGGGTCGTCTTCTACACGGAAGTAAGCTGAACCTATGACACACATGCCACAGCTGGCACGCAGAGCCCTCTGTATGGGCACATGAGCCATGCCGATGCTGCTGGTCATGCCAGCTTGTGCAGGGTGAGACGCCACTCGCTGCCAGGGCTCAGCTCTTATACATGGAAAAATACAGTAATTGCTATATTTTAATTTGAGCTTTAGTGGACAAGTCCACTTTCTCAGGCATTAAAATATAGCAGTCTTTAAGGTGCCACAATGTTTTTGTCTTTATTTTTTTATTTTCCTTTGTTTTTGCCTGACAAAATGGAAAGTTAGGCATATTTAGACTCATTGGTTTTTAATTCTGCACTTGATTTAGGCTTATTAAGATTAGACTGCACTGGGTAAGCATAACATATGAATACGTAATTAGATTTGCCTAGAAGACTGATTTATTAAGTCAGAATTGGAGGTAGTATTAAAGCAGTATACTGTAGATGGAAGTCATATCAGCATTATAAATGTTTGTGTTATTAAATTATTTGCTAGGAAGAAGAAACTCCTTTGCACTGTGCAGCTTGGCATGGCTACTATCTTGTTACCAAAGCATTGTGTAAGGCAGGATGTAATGTGAATGTCAGAAATAAAGAAGGGGAAACTCCACTCTTGACAGCATCCGCTAGAGGTTACCATGATATTGTGGAATGCTTGGCGGAGCATGGCGCTGACCTTGATGCAACTGACAAGGTTAGTCATGGCTGAATAGGTTACATTTAACAAGCAATTGCCTATACTGTAAAGGTTTTCATCTGTATAGAATTGTTTTTATGTTATATTCATTTCCTAATTTGTTTGGATACTGCAAGTCAGTTGAGGACTCTTTAGAAAATGGAACAGACTACTTCTAAATATTAATAATAATAAATAATCATTTTTCTTTATATGACATCAGCATTGTGAAGTGGTTAACTCTGCTGAATCTGTTGTAACTGTCCATTTTGCTTGACCTCTGGCTCTTGCATGTTTTATTGAAAGCAAGCAGAATTGTCTATAAAGGTTTGGAACAATACAGAACTATTTTTTTTTATTTTTATTTTTCCTTCTAACTGATTACTATATATATATCATGTCTTGGAAACAAAGAATAAATATATGATGTTCAAAGTATAGATAGGACACCAGAATCTTGCCGCTTTCTTGGTGGTATTGAATCTTTAAAGGCTCCAAATTGCCCTTTTGTCTTTCAAAAGAATGTAGGACAAAAGGTGGGCTCTGACCTCTTGGCAGTGTCCTTTATCCACTGAGTGTGTCAAAAACTCATTTTGATTCCTTATTAGTCATAGAAACACATGAAAGTAGGGAGGGAAGGAAAGAATTTTCAAACTGAGTGAAAAAAACACTGAGTTTCAGAGGTATACCAACTTTTCTGTGATCTCCATATGACTACAGTATTAGGAGTGTTTTCTTTCAGACCAAACATTACTCTTTTCCCTAACCTGTACCAGTAAATGTTAATATGTTTATATTGCAATCTTCCCCATATTGATGCTGTGGTGATCCCCCTTTGCGCCCTTTATACCTCTGGTCTCCACAAAGGTGAACACGCCCTTTTCGCTGCCACCAGGTATTCTCTTAATACCAATACAATTCCCACAGACTTAGGAGCTACTCAAAGAACTTAGGAATCCGGGGTTTTGATCAAACTTTCTTTTATTAAAGAACAAAATTTATAAGGAGAATCAAATATAACTGTTTCAGGTGTTCAATTATATTATATCATGTATTCAGTTACTGGTATTATTCATATTCTGCTTATGCGTTCATTCCTGCTTGTTCAATATGATGTAACCTGTTCAATTCTCTTTCCTAACCCCTCTAATCTATTCCTAAACCCTAACACTCTCTCAATAACTTCTTGTCCCTACTTCTCTCTATTCCTGTCTTATTCCCACTCCCTCACTGTCTCTTCCAGCTGTCTTAACTGTCATTCTGACTCCGCCCCTCCTGCACTATCTTCTGATTGACATGCAGGAATGACGTCATCTTTTGGGTTCCGCTACAGATGCTAAGCTCAAGAGTTCCTACTAAAGTTTATAACTACCATTTAAAATAAAGAAAATAACAAAAAACAACATACTGTAATAGAAGGAAATAGAACAACATAACAGTGTCAGAGTTAAGTTACAATGGCAAGGAAACACGTTGGAAAACCGTTTTTAAAATGTAGTTGAATAAAAATACCTTTATAGGCCACTGAAAGGACCCCAGGCTCAGTGCTGCATTAGCCTCCTTGGAAAAAACAGAGGTGGGATACTAAAACAAGAAACTCTGTCTTGGAGACCTCAAGGCAGGAAAAATAAAAGGATGTTTTTATGTTTAGTTTGGAAAAAGTCTGAAATCTAGGATGCTCCCCTATGCTGTGGAGTCTACCACAAACTTTCTGTTAGGAAGGAGGCTAAGCTTTGTTTGCTGTGCACTTCATTTGAATATTAGCATTTGCCTGTTTCATACCTTTTTTTTGCTTCAGTTTTTTCTAATTTAGACATACTAATTATCTTAGCAAGACCTGAATTAGTTCATCTTTTTTTGTACATGTGCATTTAGGATGGCCACATAGCCCTTCACCTTGCAGTCCGAAGATGTCAAATGGAAGTGGTTAAAATGCTCATAAGTCATGGGTGTTCTATAGACTTCCAGGATAGACACGGAAATACTCCTCTTCATGTAGCCTGCAAAGATGGAACCATGCCGATAGTGATTGCACTCTGTGAAGCAAACTGTAACATCGATATCACCAATAAGGTAGTACTAAGAAGAAAAATAAATTTACAATGTTTTAGTAAGGATTTATCAAGTTGATATATTTTTGAGTATTAAAGTTGTACTGAATTTAGAGGCATCCTCTTCCAAGACATGCTGGTATTGTAGGGAAATTGTATTTTCATATCATCTGGAATGGAACAGTTTATTTCTGAGAAAAGGATTTCTCTGTACCTGGCACTATCATTTCAGGTGCAGATTCTGCACAGATTAGCACTACTGCCACATGTTGACTGTGTTTTATGATGAGAAACACAGACCTTTGTTCTCCATCCTTTTTATTAATGTTTAAACCTGCAGTTTTTTTCTTGAGTTTCTGTAGAGGCTACATACTCCCCAGTAGACATGCCAGGTCCTCCAACTCCATTGAAGAAATTATCTTTCTGCTCCTTATCCCAGCTGTGTGGTCTACAGGACCAGCAGAGTATAATCTGTATGTGCTTATGCGTCCAAGTTAGAGATTCTGCTGCATGTAATATACTGTACTATAATATCTGGTTTAGCAATCCTTCAATAAGAATCTGAGATGTGCTTTGCAAAAGAGTACTAAGTAGGCTTCCAGTAGTCAGAAATGTCTGGATAACGTAGCAGTTACCAACAAATCCATAGGCAGATATCCCTCTTCGGACTATTTGTACTGCTGCTGGGTGGGCCCACTAATTTTCCAGAACTGCACAGCTACCTCTCCAGGAGTGGAAGGAAGCAAGAAAGTGGTCACTACATGAACTGAAATGATGTTTTACTGCAAAAAAGCGCATTGCCCTTTGTAAAACCAAATCTAGATATGAACATTATTCAGCATATTTTCTACTGTGGAAAGCCCAGGTTTGCTCAGAGAGCTTTGCCTGCTTTATTTTTCTTTTCTACAACTAGGTACAGAGAACTGGTAAATAATACACCTCAGCAACTCCTGCTCCAATGTACTGTACTGTTAATTGCATTTTAAAAAGATGTGTAGACTGCCCAGTATGTTCATTTAAAAGAATCTTTAGCCGTGGCAGTGTTACGATTGTTTTAAAAGTAGCTGAAAATATATAAAAACTAAAATAGCTTGCTTAATTTTATTGCATTGCTCTTAGGAATCTGAATAAATTCAGAATATTTTGGTGGTGGAATGGCTTTAGGCTCTGCTGACTCACTGGCTGAAATCCTATTGCTTAGCACAGCAAGTTGCAACTAGATTAGGTCCATTGAATCAGTGAAGATTTTGTGAGTCAGCTTCTCTGTAAGTTACGATGATTGAGTCTGCTGAAGTTGTGACTTACTACAATAAGCAACAGAATTTCTGCCATTATATATGAATAAATAAATCTTAGCGCACCGGATATTACAGAGTTAAAAGATACACTGAATAATGCAACTTTTTAATGATTAAAATCAAAAGGCTTTGCTTTCAGTTTAAAGGTTATTGTTAAAGAACAGTATTAAGTTGTTTTGCACTACAGTCTTGGCATTCAAAAATAATCAGTGTCCTTCTGTGCTACAACTAGCAAGAGAAGTGCATTGATTACAGCCCTTTGCAATCTTTTATTATGATTATTTTTAAATATGTTACCAGCTACTGGGTAAAAAGAAGCTTCTGACACTGGCCTGTGGGCCCTGTTTTGTTAGCTTAATCCTGACTAATTAAGTAGTTAAATGCAGAGTCACAATAAAAACCCTGTTTCTGTGAGAACTGAGTTAATACAGCAAAATACTTGATTTGTAGTTAAAGATCTTTGATCAGTCTTGGGGACTTGACATAACTTTCTGTCCTCTCCCAAAGTACCATCTAAACAGATCAGGTTTTACAAACATCTTCCAAACATATATTGGTTTTTACTATAGACTCTCTTTCTTTGGCTGAAATCTAATAGTAAAGTAGGCCCATTGAATCAGTGGTAATTAGCATTCCCTCTTTTCTTGAGTGGTTTGTGGAGACTCCACCCTGCGCACACAGAGTTCCAGCCACAACTGGAAACAAATGGGCTGGCTGTGTGCGCCCGATGCAGCGCTGCACGCCTGTGTGGCTTAAAGGGAATGTTGGTGGGAATTTGATGAGTCAACTCCTCTATAAGTTCTATCGTGTCAGATTTGATAAATATTACTCAGTCATGTAATTCAGTGATCCCCAACCTTGGGCCTCCAGATGTTCCTGGACTACAACTCCCAGAAGCCTTCACCACCGTTTCTGCTGGCCAGGATTTCTGGGAGTTGAAGTCCAAGAACATCTGGAGGCCCAAGGTTGGGGACCATTGATGTAATTGTCTACAGGAGTAAAACAGGAGTCTAACTTTGATTCTGTTCTAATCCTAGAGTATTTTTGAAGTGAGGGCTTTTGATACAAAATAATTGAATTAATGAAGAATTTTTGATTTTTAAACTTGACATCAAACATGTTACTGGATTTTGTGACTGTCTTCACATATTAGATTTCCAGAGCCAAATGCAGCAACCCTCCAGAATTTGCAGAATATAATTTTCATACCCCCTCAGTTGAGTATCTTTTATGGCAGTGCTGGAAATTAACCTAGCATATGTGTAGGTTGTTCCCTCTCTCTCCCATGTATTCTTATATCTGCAACTCTTCTTATCCAGAATGATCAAGGGAGGATAAAGTGTTGCTGTATTAGTGTTCAAAAAAGTCATAATGCAGACTGGCATCTTTTACAATTCAGTCTTTTTGGGGGCAAGCCAGTAAGATAGTGCACACTGCTCTGTTGCTCACATTTTCAGTTGTGACCTTGGTGCCATGGACCTTGGTATGATGTTCCAACGCAACATAACATGTTGCTCTGTCTTGTCCTACCCATTTCTCTGCAAACCAGAGAGAGAGATTAATGGTTTGTTCTTAGGTTGTTTTGTTTCTCTGGCTCATTGAAGGAGAAGCAGGTCAAAGCAGCAACACCTGCCAGGTTCAAACCTGTTGCTGAATCAACAATAATCTAAAATATCTTCAGTTCTTTAGTCACTCCTGCTGTAAGTAAAAGCCATCAGGCAGTCTGCACCAGCACACCACTCAGAAACAAGATAGAGTTACCCTAGAATTCTGCCTTGTCATAACACGCAAACCTAACTAATACACTTCTCTCTGAAAGGATGTCATCAGGAAGAACATATCAGAATAATGTTGAAAGACTTAGCAGTTTACACATTTCAAATTATTACCTTATAAAAGTACATGTTTTGTCAAAAACATTAATACAAGTACCTGGGCATGTCTGTATTGTATGTTTCTGCGGGAATCCTGTTGGGTATTTATGCTAGTGAAAGTGTAATTCAGTAAACAATAGTGGTTAGTTGTTACTCATTGACACAATGTGGCTGGCATTCCTGATCACATGCCAAAAAATAAAAAGTGGCACTTTAATATTTTGAATGTGGTGTGTCTTTTTGTGGCTTCCTTTTGTCTTTTGTATTATACAAGGATGTTTTTAATTACTAGATTGTTTACTTACTGTGATGTGCCAATAACGTCTGAGGAAATGGACTTGTCCACAAAAGCTCACCTTAAAATATAGCAGTTAGTCTTCAAGGTGCCACAGCATATTTGTCTTCTTTATTTTTTATTTTTCTTTTGTTTTTGGCCTGATGTGGGATATAAATACATGCAGTACATACCCACCAACATGCACACACAATACCAAAATCAAAGTAAGCAAAGAAACCAGCTAATAAATAAGCAGGCAGTAGCCTAGCTTACCACCCCCTCTAGCCTTCCAGCATGCTCCCTGTGAGCCTTCCAGCTTTGCAGGGAAGTGCTCCAATTGCCCACCATTCTCATTAGAATGCCTCCAGGCCCACACATGGCCTGCAGCAGTCGTTCCCAGCCTTAGGTCTCCAGATGTTCTTGGACTACAACTCCCTGAAATCCTGGCCCAGGACAGTGGTGAAGGTTTCTGTGAATTTTAGTCCTTGAACATTTGGGGACCCAAGATTGGGAACCACTGGTCTAGAGGAAATAAGGATGGCACTGAGCACCATCACTTCAGGTTTCCAGCTTGCCAGCCTCCACGTTCATATTTTTAAAAAGAAAAATCAACTGGTGCAAGAAGTTTGGCAGGAGCAAAAGGAGGTTTCTGTGAGCACAACTTTAGGGACCCCACTGTTAAGCCATTTCATATCATTGCTTTTTTCAACTGATACCTACAATATGGGCAAGACTCTTTGAGAACTGTTTTTTGGGGGGGAAGGGAGGAGGCAAGAATATGTAATAGAACTGCATATTTTTTCTGTACTGCTTGCTTACATTTTAAACAAGAATTCCATGTAGCTTTTCCTGGTAGAACCTGTTTGCATTTACCTAGTAACTAAATTGCATGACTTTTGACATTGCAGAGGCTAGAGTATGTCTGTCTGTCTGTTGACTGGCATATTGTTTAACTGTCATTGTTTTCCTTATAGTATGGGCGAACACCTTTACATCTGGCAGCAAACAATGGAATTCTTGATGTTGTCCGGTACCTCTGTCTCAATGGAGCTAATGTAGAGGCTTTAACATCTGTGAGTATGACCTGGGATGAAGTTTGCTGTTTTTACAAATTTCTGAAATAAATTTGTTTCTGAACTGTAATGTTTTGGCTGTATTTTAGTAATTCTTGCACTAACATGCAAACTTTTCTGACAAAACAAGAAGTTAAATTTTTTGATTTGGAATGCCTTTCCTACCTCACTAAGATTATTCTTGCTCAGAAATCAGCTGTATTTTTTTTTCATTAACTTGTTTGCCATTTCCCTATGTATTTCAAAAACTTATAGCAATTACTTCTGGGGTGCATATATATGAAATACTAGTTTGTCCTAAAAGTTTTAAGCCCTAAAAATAAGGAGATAATTTCAGTATATACATATTTGTGAGAGGAAAGGATATTTAAAAAATTGGGTTGTGTTGCTGGTTGTTCTAAGTGGCATTAGCTACTTTGTTTCCCCGAAAATAAGACAGGGTCTTATATTAATTTTTACTCTAAAAGACGTATTAGGGCTTATTTTCAGGGGATTTTTTTTCATGTACAACAATCTGCATTTATTCAAATACAGTCATGTCATCTTCTTCTGGTTGCTGCACAATGGTGGATGGCGGGGTTTCACTTAACTATAGCTTATTTTGGGGTAGGGCTTATGAGCATCCTGAAAAATCATACAAGGGCTTATTTTCAGGTTAGGTCTTATTTTCGGGGAAACATGGTAGACAGAACAATACAATAATGAGCCAAGGAAGAGACTATATGAAAAGATAGATACAGTAATGTAAACAGTGTGCGTATAAGGAGGTATAAGAGTTTATGAACAAGAAATTTACTACTATTATAACACGATAGGTATTGTTCAGTTATGCTATTTTGAATGGATTGAAATGAAGATTTAAAAATGTGTGGGAAGAACGGTGAATGGGCAAGCACACTTGTAGGTGAGCTTGTACAATAATTGCTGCTTGTCAAACTGTTCTGCTGCACTGCATCCAGTCAGCAACATCTGCCATCTTTTCCTCTCTCACATGATTGAATATGTTCATAAAATTGGCTTTCTTGGAAAACAGATTAAAACATTTAGCTATCACACTCATCATTGCTCACACTTTTAACTCAATAACATATGTGATTTTTATGTGTGAGGTGTATGCTCAGGTCAATCAGCATTGTAATCTGTTGTGTTTGACTCATCTTATACAATTAGGCCACTATAATTAAAAGGCCTGTTCTTATAGATTGCTTTAAGGAAAAGCACAACTTTAATTGACAGTAATTCTTAAAATTTTTTTCATGTACTCAGAAATATTCTACATTGTCAAAAGAATCCTAGGGCACATACTCCAGGGAGTGGACCTAATTCAGGATACAATTATAGAATTGTATGCCTGTGTTACTTCCAAATATCCTTAACAAATCTTTATTGCTATGTCTCTATAACTGTACATGTATATACAGTGGTGCCCCGCATAGCGACGATAATCCGTTCCGAATAAATCGTCGCTATCCGGAAACGTCGCTATACGGGGCAAAAAAAGCCCATAGGAACGCATTAAACTCTGTTTAATGTGTTCCTATGGGGGATAAACTCACCGCTAAGCTGAAATCCTCCATAGGGCCGCCATTTTCGCCGCCTCGGTAAGCGAGGAAACCGCGCGAAAACGCTGCGGGCGGCCATTTTTCTTCCGGCGGCCATTTTGGAATCGCTGATCAGCTGTTCTAAAACACCGCAATGCGATGCTTACCCATTAAAAACATTGCAATGTGATCACTTTTGCGATCGCAAAATCCGCATCGCTATGTGGATTCGTCGTTAAACGAGGCGCTCGTTATGCGAGGCAGCACTGTATATGATAATGCTTTTGTGATCCAGTTGCAAGTACATTTATTATTATTTGAGGTGCTGAAATACATTGTTATTTTTGCTACAGTGGTTTAGCACTATTACACCTGTAGCATTTTATTCCTATTGAAAGCATCAATCATAAGAGAAAAGTTACAGCTATCTCATTGACTTGCTTGATTATGTCTTTTTACTGAACTTTCCAATGGCTCACTGTAATTTTTTTTCTTAATATCTTGGTCATACCTGTTTGCAGCTTGAGACAAGAGGCAAGCAGTGTGCTTACAGTCCAATTACATGTTTACTGCCACTTCAATTTGTAGACTTTGTTTCATAAAGACATGCCTCTGTCAAGTAGCACTGCCTTCTGGATCACAGAAGCATTATTGTATGTACACGTGAATACAGTCACAGAAATATAGCAATAAAGTATTCACAGTTACAGAGTTAGAAACAGGAACACTAGATTGAAAATTGTTTGAACACAGCGTGCTTGGCTAAACAAGAATCCAGCATGTGTCAAATTTACCGTGCTAGCAGTGGATTCAGTTGCAAGCAAGTTCTTTACCCTACCTTTAAAACACATCTCCAAAAGAAAAAAGAAGAAGAAATCCCCTTTGTTGCCTCCTTTTGTCTCCTCCTCCACTTCCAGGAGGATAATTTCATTTTAAAAAATTTATTCCCTCTACAGATCACAGAAAGTGTTTAATCAGCCAATATCCTGAAGTGGCTATCTTCCTTTAAGCCACTTCACAATACTGTATGAGTAATTGACAGTGGAAGTAGCCGGACTAAATAGGGTTGCTTATTTCATTCATTCATTCATTCATTCATTCATTCGATTTCTATCCTGCCCATCTAAACCAAAGGTCTACTCTGGGCGATTTGCAAATTTAAAAACAATAAAACCAAAAAGATATATTATGGATCCAAGGTGGCGAAAGTATAAGAAATTAAGATATGGCAGGAGGGAAAGAATGCCCAAATAGCCAGGTTTTAAGTTTATTCCTGAAAACACCCAGAGAGGTAGTCAGGCGGATCTCCACTGTCAAGTTGCTCCAAAGGCGAGGGGCCACTGGCGAGAAGGCCCGGTTCCTCTTTCTTTCCCTCTGGCCCTCCCTCAGTGTTGGGCCCCTCAGCTGCCTGGTCTGGCTGGAACAAGTAACTCTGGCAGAACATGGTAGGAAAATGCGCTCTGCCAGATATTGAGGTCCTAAACCGTTTGGGGCTTTATATGTAATCATAAGAACTTTGAAATCAATGCGGAAACAAATGGGTAGCCAATGCAAGGAGGCCATTGTTGAGGAAATATGTTGATACCTTTTCACCTCTGTAAGAAGTCTGGCCGCTGCATTTTGTACCATCTGAAGTTTCCACATTAGCCTCAAAGGCAGCCCCATGTAGAGCGTGTATATGCCATTTAGATGAGATGCAAGAGTCACACCATATGGCATACCAGACCTTGACTGAACCTCTAGCACAATCCAGCCTGGTCCAATTGACACATATAAACACACCCTTAGTCTCTTTTTAACTCCCACAAAACACTATCAGGTGAACTGAATTAGTCCTACTTGCTAAATCAAGAATCTGGGAAAGGACTCTAAACTGTTTTTAACATTATTAAATTGAGTTGAACTGATACTTTGTCTGAATGAAAAATTATGATAGGTCATCGAGACATAACACAGCACAAAAGAGATACATTAAGAAACTGTTGCAGTAAGCAATTTTTATTGTGGCCCATGAGAAACTGCTGACCTATGAAATATGGGTAATTAAAAGTCAAGAGGAGAATGTTGAAGACAGATTTGCTGCTCTCCTGAATTTGCCTAAGCTACTTAAAATGGTGCTGCCATGCCCACTGCTACCCAGAGATCCTAGATACAGTAACCAAGCTATTAATTTCCCTCTCTTTTTATCCTATCTCGCATAAACACATTTCACTACTAGCTACTTTCATTAAATGTGCATCAAAATATTCTGATAGCATGCTGAAAATATCTTATTGCTTCAAGATCCTGAGCTTGAATGCTTGCTCTTGCTATAATGTAGTGCTAGTTCCTATAAAAGAATCTGTCTAGTTGTTCTGTTTTTCTTTTTTGCTTTTAATGCTAAACAGATTAAAAATTCCAACTGGGACGTCCTTACCATTTCCCCCATAATTCATTTGCTTCTGACAGCATTTGCTTTCTTAAGAGCTTGGGAATAATGGAACTGATATGACATGTGCATAGGAGGGGGCTTTGAGACAAGAAGTCACATTAATTAACAACTTGTTGTCTAACAGGATGGGAAAACAGCAGAAGATTTGGCTAGAGCAGAGCAGCATGAACATGTAGCCAGCCTACTTACGAGACTAAAAAAGGTGAGAAAATGAATAAACAATAAAGCTGTATTTCACTGTACAACCTACAAATTATTAGCTGTAGAGGATAGTATAGAAAACGTCAAGAAACTAGGCTAAAAATGGTTGCCTAGCAATTTACTGGCAGTACTCCTCTTAAGTTGAACAAATTATGCTAAGAATAAATAAATCATTCCTTTTTAGATTACATGAATGCAAGAATGGGTGATATCTTTTATTGGATCACTAAACATTAAAACAAAAACAGCAAGTTTTCATGGATGAAATACACTTCCTTTGATTAAGCACACCTTCTTCATGGATAATGCAGAAAAATTATAGACAAAAATCCAGAAATTGATGTTATAGGTCTGTGAGAGACAATTCAGGTCTTCTTGAGGCTGGGTCTGTAGTGTGTCTGCAGCAAGGCTTGGAATTCTAACACTCCTGCTCTTGATGGAACTGTTGTCATTTTCATTCACGCTTCCCCAAGTGGCATATTGTGTTGTCAGGCAGTGCAGCTTGAAGCCAGGAGAGAGAGTTCCAAGGGAATGTCCCCTACACCCTACTAGATTCAGCTCCCTTCTTGGATATGTAGTGGTCAGATTCCTCTCTCAAGAGTCTCTCAAGGTGCACTGTACCACTAAATGTGCCCAGCTCTTGACATCTGTGCTGCTATCCTTGAACGTTTGAGTTGATTAAACTAAGGGCTTTTCCAAATCATACCTACTGAATCAAGGTGTGAATGGCCTTTCCATTCGAATGGTGCTTACATTGCATACAGCATGGTTGTACCATGGTAAAATAGAGTAGCAAGATTTGGATACAACTTTTGACATGAGTGCTTGCTAAATCAGAATAACTGTATTGTTCTGAAAATATAGCATGTAATAAGAAGCAGGTGCACCTGACTTTTCTCAGTGTATTTATGCTTCCGTTTGGTTCTTTGCTTTCACTTTTAGGATGCACACAGAACAATGTTCATTCAACATCTCAGACCTACTCATAATTTACAACCAAGAATAAAACTTAAGCTCTTTGGCCATTCTGCATCTGGAAAAACTACTCTGGTGGAGTCTTTAAAGTGTGGACTTTTGAGAAGCTTTTTTAGAAGACGCAGACCAAGGCTCTCCTCAACAAACTCAGTCAGGTTTCCCCCTTCACCATTATCTAACAAGCCATCAGGTAAATACTTCTAGAAATGTTATGCTACCGCACTTATTGAGAATGTGTGTTTGCTCTGTGGTGGGAAGTCAGAACTGACTTATAGTGACCCTAATAGGGCTTTCAAGGTAGGTAAGATATTTGAGGACTGATTTTACCAGTTCCACTCCCCTAGTGAGTTTCCATGGCTAAGTGGGGATTTGAACCCAAACCCTGCCTTCCAGAGTCCTAATCCATCCCTCTGTCCACTTCACCACACTGAGAATCATTAATTAACTATTCTCAATTAATGAGAATAGTTACTGTTTTTAATGCTGGTTCCGATACACATAGCAAGTTTGTCATATTTGTCACCTTTCCAGCATTAATAAAAGATGCCATAATTTTTATACATATGATGTAGTTCCAGCAATATTCTATATCCATGTAGTGAGGAGGAAGCACTTTTTCTGCAGGAAGACAATACTTGTCACTTTAGCAAAACATAGAAGATATATGTACTGTACCAATCTGGAGAGAAGCTTATGAAAGAAACAGTTTTCTTTTTTTGGTGAAATTTTGGATTCTTTGATAGAAAAATCTGCAAAACAGCAGAGCTCTTCTGAGATGGAGAGGGATGTTGGCACCATGAAGTACTTATTGGTTTCTAATGATTTGTAAATATGTAAAGCGTGAAAAAGTGGTGTCACTCATAATGAATGACAAAACTAAATCCACCAGTAGTCAGTATCTAGTAAGGAACAACTACAATTCTACAACAGTGTGTAAAGTTTAACTTTCTGGAACTCTTCACCAGCAAGGTGGTAAAAAGGGGGGTTGGGGGAGCATGGAAGTCCAAATGTTTGGCTAACTGTTTTAGGTGATTTAACCCAGGTCCAAAGTGAGCAGTGCAAGCCTGATGGGTCATTGGTATTGCACAACATCTTGCATTCCATGCTGGGATGAAAATGTAACAGTGATCCCCTCTCTTGAAATACAGGACTGCTTAGCAGCTGAGACATCTACTTCTTGCCTTGGTTAAACACACAGTTTGTCATTATGTCTCATTGTAATTCACTGGTGAGAGATGTGTTCCTTCTAGTGCCAAAATGCTGTTGTTTAATTGCTAGGAAAATGCAGTATCCCTTTAACAGATACCCCAAATCAGTAAACAAATTAATAGAAGTTTTGTATTCAAAATGATTATAAATGGTTGCTTATACATGCCTTTTATAACAGGAGGTCTTAGTGTGACGTATAGCCCCCTGAAGAGATCTAAGTACAAAATGTAATGTGAAAATTTCTCCTTGGTTACCATTTGTTAAAACTTTTTTAAAAGCATCCATTCTATATGAATCAAAAGAGTATGACGCCTCCATTGTGAGTTCTATACAGTATCTGTAATTTGCTTCCTGACTTTTCTGTCTCCTTGATCCCACTGAATAAGAAAAGTTGGGTCAAATTGAAATGATTGAATTACCTGCTCTTTAGAGCACATATTTTTTGTTTAAACTTAAAAGTGGTTATAAGTAGAAAACAATGGGCAAAATCCTGTTGAGTAACTTCGTGCCAAGGGCAACACCAGAAATATTTAATTTATAATAGTTAAAAGCTTCCTATCCCCGCCCACCATGGCAATCCAGTGGTAGCTTTTGACTTTTAAAGCCTCCACCACCCCATCCCAAGGCTCCCAAAGGCTCCCCCAGAGCAAAAGGAAGCCCGAAAGAGCCTCGAAACCTAAAACAGGAATGGGAGGCTTTTCATTAGTTTCCCTTTGCATTCATATACCATAAAGAGTATAAGTTTATACACGCAAAGCATTTTGGGAAGTACGTTAGGCCCTCTATTATTTATTTATTTATTTACCATCCATCTGGCAGCCAGGGACACTCTGGGTGGTTTACAGCAAATAAAACAACAGTTACAAAATAGTACATATGCAAAATAATAATAATACGATTGGGGCATAAATCAAATATTATAAAGTGCAGTAAAACTGTGAGGGTTCAGGTCCAGGCTCTTGTTTTTCTCCAAATAAATCACCAGACTTGCGTGGTTTCAAAATAGGGGTAACATTTATTGCAGTGTTTTACAGAAAACCAGTGTCAGCAAAAGTATTCCAACATTTCTCTCCTTCCAACAACTGGTTGGTAAGGGGCTTCCACTCATCATCTTTGAAGGGATTTCCCCCTCCATTGTTCCACGTTTCAAGCCAGTCCATAGACAGGTTATGGTTTAATAACTGTCCGGTCTCCCCTTCCAATAAGGGAACGGTGTCCTGGTCCCGGTTGTCCAACCAGGTGGGGTCCCGGGTGGTAGTATACCTCTGCCAGGGTCCTCTGGTATCCCCTCATCTGGAAGTCCCTCACTCTCCATTCTGTTCTTTCCCTCTCAACTCCCTCCTTCTCTTCTCTTAATTTCCTCCTCCACTCCTTTGTCTCCTTCTCCACCCCAGTATGAAGGTTTGGGAGGATATCTCCCTCCTTCTCCGGTAGTCAACCTCTTCTTTCGGTATCTGGAGGTTTTCCCACTTTCCAGTCCATGGATCTTGCATCCAGATCCATTAAATTGCAGTTAAAAGCATGAAATATTAGAGACAAGAAGCATGGCGGTGTGATGGATGATATTTTAGCAAACACTGTTGTATCATACAGCTGTTTGTTCAGAGAAGGCCTGCTTAAATAGCCAGGTTTATAACAACTTCCTGAATGAATATTTGCAACATTAAATGTGTACAATAAAGATGTGGTAGTGTTAAAATCTGCATGTGTTCCTTTGTTGATGTGTCCTGTTCTATGCCATCACATTGCATCCAACTTATGGTGCCCTAATAGGATTTTCATGAAATACATAAGGAATAGTTTTACCATCGCTACCCTCAGTGAGTTTCCATGGCCAAGTGGGAATTTGAGCCTAGTTCTCCTGAGTCCTAGTCCACTATAAAAGTCCTCCAGCCACTATAAAAGTGGTGTAGTGATTCTTTTGGCCACTAGAGGAGGCAAGTTGAATTGAAAGATGACTGTATGTCCTCAGTATTTTTGTGTTTTCTGTCTTGCTCAAGTGTGTTAAAGGCAGTACTGTCTTACTGTCATTTTGTTTAAAGCACAGTGCAAGTCTCCTCCCAGTTTCAGAAAATACCCCTTTCTACTACAGCCCATACTGTCCAAGAACAGCCTTTTTTAAAAAAAAAGGTTCTTGCAGTGTTTGGGGTGGGGGACAGATAAGAATCAGTTGCATAAGCGTGACCATTAGATACAAACCAAAGACTTCTAAAATATTGTCTTAATTGGTGGGAAGTAAATAACACTGGCTGGGAATAATAAGCCCTTCTAGCTGGTGCTCCCTCTTTTCTTTTATGCCTCATTACTTAAGTTCAGAAAGACCTCCTTTGACATGAAAGAAACAATCTCTAAATGAGATAGAGAAATTTTTGGTGATTAGCTGGTTACACTTGTAAGTTCAAAATGAAAATATGTTTGACACTTGCCAAGAGCACTAAAGATATCTTTTTAGTTCTGTTCTTTGAGCGTACTTTTTCATAGCTTTTTGCTTATGTTATTTTCAAATAATGCAACTAAACTTTTCAAGTTTTATGTCTCTGAACTTTTTTTTCATTTCTGTGATCCAGTTTCAGTAAGTATTACAAATCTGTATCCTGGTTGTGAGAACGTGAGTGTGAGAAGCCGGAGTATGATGTTTGAGCCAGGCCTTACCAAAGGAATGCTGGAAGTATTTGTTTCTCCCTCACACCATTCCCACTTCTCAACAGATGACCAGTCAACCAAGGCCATTGAGATTCAGAATGCTTATTTGAATGGTAAAGTATGAAACAATAACCATAATTAATTTCTTTTAGTGTTAACAGTACAGACGTATTTCAGTCTGAAATCCACTGTAAGCCTTTGGTAGAATATCTTCAGTGTCTCAATGAAATTTGAATTTTTATGTCTTAGAGTAAGCATGATCTAAAGTGCTTTTTACCTTTTTGCACATGTTATATTATGTTATGTGTCATCACATTAGAACCAATTTACAGCAACCCTAACAGCTACCACAATGAGCTATTTGAGGTAATTTTACCAGTTCCTTGGGCTTCCGTGGCCAAGGTCTCCTGAATCCTAGTTGATCACTATCTGCTACACCAGGTAGCAAAATAAACATGAAAAACTGTGCATAGTATTTGGAATGTTAACACAATATCTTTGCCTGCACTGCATCTTTGTTTGTGATCTATGAGAGGCTGCCTTTGGCACTATACTCCCCTGAGAACACAAATAACACTCTCCAAAAGCAGAGAAAGTACTCTGTGGGCAGGCAAGGAGTTGGTTCTTCCAGCTGCCCACCTGACTTACATGCACAGAAAATGTCTGTTTACCTCGTTGCTCAAGGTTATTCTGGGAGAGGCTGTATATGTTTTATCCAGGTTGAATACATTGGATTAACTCGAAGGTTTGCTAAAGCCTTCCAAAATCCTCATGTTTTTGAAACTCTAATAGCTGATACTACTAGTACTTTGTGAACTCACATAATGTAGAGAATTTTCTGGTCTTCCCTTTCCTTCTTACCATTTATTTATAAATTTCATTAAGAATGTCATTGTAAAATTTAATAGAAAATAATAAATAATAAAATGTGCTGTCAGCGTCCCTATAATGGTGATTAGCAGTCAGCAGTGACTATTATAATTTCACTCTGATTTTGTAATTTAAACTTAATTCATTGTCAGACCTGTGAAATAAAACAGTTTTGGTTTAAAATAACAACAGAGCCCTTTCAATTCATTTTGACATCTGATACGAGAACAGTAAGACATTCATATAAATAAGACGTTTGAGATTGTATCAAAAAAAGAGGTAACTAGTTAAAAATTAGTTATCATGCTGTGTTAACTGAGTGCTGCAGCACTACCTTTTTGTGAGTTTTTTGTGGCATGTTTTCTGTAATTTTTATAGAATTCCTGTTTTAATATAAAATAACAGAAAAATTTATTAAATGTGGTCCAAAAAGCATGGGTTACTTCTGTGTGACTTTTCTCATTTTGATTGTAGCATTATACTAGGTATACATCAGTGATACTTCAGCAAATGTAACCAAGAAGAGGACTTTATGCTCTGTCCCTAAAATTAAGAATATTTTGCAGGGTTTTATCAGTGTATGAGAACTTCCTGTTTACTGGCTTGATAATATACATTTGCTTATTGCAGGAATTGGTGATTTCAGTGTGTGGGAATTTTCTGGGAATCCTGTATATTTCTGCTGCTACGATTATTTTGCTGCAAATGATCCCACCTCAGTTCATCTTGTGCTTTTTAGTCTTGAAGAGCCCTATGAAATACAGTTGAACCAAGTGATCTTTTGGCTTAGTTTTCTAAAATCTCTTGTTCCAGTTGAGGAACCCATAGGTATGCTATAAGTATTTTATTTTTGCTAGTGCTTCAAAATGTGGAAGGAAAAAACAATTATAAATAATTTTGAAGGTCTTCTAAGTCGAGCTTCTTCATGCTTCTTCTCATTCTGAGTTTTCTTTCTTTGTACAAGTTAAGTATACATGGATTGCTAAAACATGTGCAACAAAGTCATTAATCATGTGATCAAATTATCATGGGAATGTGCAAGATTTTCTGCATAACAGTAATTCTTATTAATATTCTGTTAATAGTCTAATTAATGATAAAGGTATCAAATAGTATTGTGATTGAAATCTAGCATATAACTGGATTTTCCTTAGGGTTAATAATACTAATAATCTTAGAACCAGAGAGCTGGAAGGGACCCTATGGATCATCCAGTCCCTGTCAAGGAGGCACAGTGGGGAATCGAACTCCCATCCTCTGGCTTCACAGCCAGATACCCGAACCACTGGGCTATCACATACACTCATTTTCATTAAAATACTACTTAAAAAATTCAAAACTGCCCAGTCTGATTCCTGTAAAATATATTTCCAGTGAGAAGCTACAAAACATCACTGTCAGGCAGAAAATAAATAGTATATTAACTAGTTTAACAATGTCTGTGGGCACTAAAGCGCATCTTCAGTTTTTAATGTGCTTTGAAATAAGTCTAAAATATTAATTTTAATTAAAATGTATAGATTCATTATGTTATTTTTTTAGTTTACATGCATCCTAACTTTACATTACAGTGTACTGTTAACATTATTGGAAATATTTCATGTACAGTTGAAACCTCTTTTTACAGAGCCAGAAATATAGTCCCGTCTAGCCACCCTGAAAATATATTATGCCTGGATTTCCACTTAGACATTAAAATCAGCTGTGAATGTTGTCATTCATATACTGTATTATAATGCCATCAGACCAGTTTTTGGATTACAGCCAATATATTCATTTGGAATAAAGACTTGCATATAGGTTATAAAGGATATAAATCCAACGATGCATTGAACATCATTCTGTTTTCATGAAATTAACCAAGTTTATATACAGTGGTGCCTCGCTTGACAAGGATAATTCGTTCCGTTGAAATCGCTGTTAAGCGAAATCCTCGTCAAGCGAAACGAAAAAGCCGATTAAAATGCGTTCAGTGCGTTCCAATGGGCTAAATACCTCAGCGTCCAGCAAAGATCCTCCATTTTCGTTGCCTGTAAAGCGAGGAATCCATCCTAAATCACAGCGGGGAGCCATTTTGCACAGCGGGCGGCCATTTTAGAGCCGCCAATCAGCTGTTTTAAAATCGTTGTCTAGCGAAAAATCGGTTCCCAAAGCAGGGAACCGATCATCATTAAGCGATTTTTCCCTATTAGAACATCGTTTTGCGATCGCAAAAACTTCATCGTCAAGCAGTTTTGTCATTTAACGAGGTAATCGTTAAGTGAGGCACCACTGTACTTTGTTTGTGATACAGCATTTGAATGATTTATATATTGTGGTCGTTATATTGATTGTTCCGTTATTACTGTTGAGCATTTGCTAAAGTATAGGTAAGCCCTACAGAGTTCTACAGATATCAGTATTTAGTAGAATTCTTAAAATATATATTTCTCTTTTCTAGATTATGTAAGCAAGTAGACTGTGTCGATTTCTGTTCAGTGGTGTTACATCATTCATGTCCCATTTTGTATCTTTCTCTCTTTCTCATTCTTTTTCATGGTATCTCCCAGGCTTTCCTACTTAACTCTCATTTAAGTGAGAATTCTTTGTTTGTGTAAGTACTGTAAAATTGCATTCATATCACTATATGAATGTTTTAGATCATTCATTTCCTGCATATAATAGTCTCGGCTATAAGCCTGTAGTACTGTAGACAAGTGAGGTCTGTAGAAGTGGCAGTAACTGAAAAAAGGCAGTACCTGTCCTCTAAATACTTACTTAGTTTCTTGTGACATGGATGGCTTATGAACGTTTACTCCCTTTCTTAATGCCTTTCTCTGGTTTTTTAATAGAGCCAAAATATTGTTGGAAATGATGAAATATTACCATGCTAGACAGAGTCAGTCTCTTAATATGAGGAAAGTTTTTAAAAGTATGTTGTCGGGGAAAAACCTTCCTCCTCCACCACCCCTCAAATTCTGTGGGTTTTTTGTCTTCTGAAGCATTTGGGGGAAGACTGAAAACTCCACTGCATGTTGGATTGGTGGCTACCCATGCGGATATTGTTAACCTTCCACGTTCTGCTGGAGGAGAGTTCCTATATGACAAGGATACATCACTTCTGAAAGAAATCAGAAATAGGTAAGACAGAAATGTAATATAAAGCAGAGGTAAGCAACCTCCAGAGGTCCATCCCTGGATCTTAGAGGAATGCAACACTTCCTGCCAGTACACCCTTTCAGATTTTTCCTACAAAAATGTTTATTTTAACTTTTAAAAAAGCCTCCTTGTGCCCTTTACAACCCCTAATATATATTTATTATTTATTTTTAGTTATGCTCTTCCTTTCTCCCAGCAGTAAGGCCTAAAGCAGCTTACAAAGAATTGTAGAGCAGAAGTATTAAAACAGTTAACAATACAATAAATTACAGTATTAAAAACAGCTGAACATGTTAATAATTAAAGAAGTAGTAAACAAAATGCCTTTGAAACAATTTTAAAACACATATAAAAAGGTAGAAAAGGCAAATTCCTCTTAAAAATGCATTCCTTACCAGCCTGCCTAGAAAGAAAGCTTTGCCTATTGATGGAAGGATAGCAGGGAGGGGACCACCTTGGTCTCCCATGTAATGGAGTTCCATGCTCCAGAAGCAACCACTGAAAAGATCCTCTGTTGTTAGCACTGTTTTAAAGTCTGCATTCTGCAGTGTAAGTTTAGGGCTTTATAAATCAAAAACAGCAGTTGAATTGTGCCCAGAAATTGAGCCAGTGCCCATCTAACCTGTAGAACAGAGAATTTTTGTTCTCTTACAAAAGACAAAAAAATTAAATTTGAGGCCTCTAAGTGGTGATGTAGGGCATTCAAAACATGGTAGAATTGTTTTCACTCTGCCTAGAGGGCACAAGGGGACTTTCTGAGCCAAAATATATTTAAAATATCTAGATATGTAAAAACTTTTTTAAGTGAGTGTGAGTGTTCAGGGGCTACTTTGACCCCCAATATAAAGCATGAAAAATTGTATTGTATTAAAAAATAAAAATTATTTGTGGATTCTGTGCATGACACATAAGGGTTTTGCACGTGTACAGAACGTAGCTCAGAATGTTTTAACATGACAAAGTTTCAAGGTGAGAAGCCCTCACTATACATGCTTTGGGTTTGGTTTCTGCCTTTGCTTTATTCTGAGAACTTCCAAAGCAGCCATGAGACAGTGCATCAGCATGAGAAAGAAAGATTGGTGGTGTAAATAAATACACAAAGGACCACAGTTATGGGTGAGCAGTTTGCAATGTTTTTTCTTCTCTGTGGACCATATGTATGGTTTAAGGAGCAAACTGGCTTACTGAGAGTGGATGAATGTCACTGTAGTACCGAAAAACCCAAAGGAATTGTCCTTACAAGTCCAGACATCCACATATTGCTGCATATGTGCTGATGTATAGCTGAGTGTTGCAGCTCAGCAGAATAGACAGATTGCCATAGGTGTGGCTTCTGTATCATGAAATGCACATACATAATTCCAGGAAGGAGCAACTGGGCCAGCTCAGGGTGGGCTGAGGCTCACAACCTGGGTGAGATGAGATGTTGAGGCAAGAGTACGAATGCTGGACTGGTTGGAGACAGAGAACTGCTTGGACTTTCTGAAGGAAGTAGGGCACCTAGGAACAGGGGTGAGCCTTCCTGCCTTGAAACTTTGAAATTTTAGAATGTTTTGAATGATTTTCTGAACAGGCCCACAACCCATATGTGACTGCACAGATGACCATTCAGAGAACTATTGCTGCAGGTAAGAAACTTGCTCATTTTAAAACTTCTGTGTATATGCCAAGACTGTAAAATACATCTGATTATTACAATTAAAGCATGATTTTTTTAAAAGACTATGCTTATGCACAGGTAGAGCCTGATTCACACGTAACAGGAAACAATGGTTTTCCATTAGGAGAATGTGTTGCTGCAGTCTTTAACCTCACTCAGTCATCTCCTCAACATGTTAGTGGAAAAGATTTGGTGGGTGGGTGGATGTACTGCCCCATTAATGCAGTGTACTATTATGAGTACTTCACAGCATAATAAAATACATAAACATATAAAAGAAATGTATAAACAGTGGAATGAATAAAAATAATCAAAGAAACAAAAACCGATGCCACCAAAGGCATATCTCTGTGACAGCAGAATGAGTGGCATGAAATCAAGTGGGTCATTGTGAAAGACCTCCCTGAAAAGCAGCATTTTGAGCTTTTTAGAGATAAAAAGTTTTTAATATCTCAGTAAACCTCACTTTCTCATTCTGTCTAAATTTGGGAAGTTGTGACTTATTTTGACTATGGTTCAAACAATTCAGAAAGAAGTCACCATTTATATATTGTGGTTGTTTGAACCAAGCATAGTTAGAATATGTCAGTGTCTCAACTTCAGACTTAATAGGAAGCTTCACTTTATTCAAACCTAGAAGGCGAGAGGACCAGTGGAGTTATAACTGAAGCAGACTACTGTGATGTTTATACTGCAGCTGTGTGCACACTCACGTTAGAGAAAAGCTCCAATGAACCTGATGGAGCAAATACTGTTTTCCAATAAACAGGCATGGAATCACACTGTTGGTGTATTACTGCATATGCGATATGAAGAGAAAACCTGACTTGCCACATTGCTTCTGTTTTTAAAACTTAACTAAGAATAGCAAAAATAAAAATCAAGTAATTGTTTCCCTTTTAGGTTTGGGAATGACCTTCACATTTTGGATAGATTATTTATTTTGGATGCTGGGGCATCTGGCTCAAAAGATATGAAGATTCTCCGAAATCACCTTCAAGAATTACGCAGCCAAATTATCTCTGTAAGTCTCATCTTCATGCTATAGACAGTGTGATACACCCTATTTCAGGTCTAAGTGTAGCTTGGATTAGAAAGGTTGCCTGGTTTACTGGGAGAAAGTAAAAGAACTATAAGATGTGTTTAAGCCAAATTTTTATGGGATACAGAGGATTTGTTTTGTCTCCGCCTGAGCTCGAAGGAGCTAGAAGGAAAGAAAATGAATTGGCCATGTGTCCAAAAATACTTTTGGCACTTTGTACTACTTAAAAATTAAATTAAATTAAATTAAATTAAATTAAATACCTGAGCATAACAAATATTTATTCCAATGCAGCAGGTTTCTAAACATATTTCTGTAGTGTTGAGTGTTCAACTAGTTTTGAAAAGCTGTGTCCATTTTGTACAACATGTACCTCTCAGTGATGTTAACGTTATTGCTATCCTGTCCTTCCTCCAAAGAATTCCTCCCATGGAAGTAATCACCTTGTCTCCCTAAAAGTGCTGAGAGTGGATGAGTTAGCCAGGGCTATCTGCTGAGCTTCATGACTTAAGTCAAGACTTACACTCAATACTCCTTAGTTCAAATTTAACATATAATGTAGTATACACCACAATGATGCTTTCATCTTATGTTTACTGTTTTTATTCCATTTATTTATTTATTTTCAACTTATAAGACATAAGAAATTTATTTGTCATTGTGCTCACAAGTGGGTGCAACGAAATGTGGTGCTCTTCCCCAAGGTAAAACTGGACAACACTACAAAAAAAAAGTTAAAATATACACAACTTTCACCATCCAAATATAGATACCCCGTTTTCTCTCAGCAATTAAAATTCCACCAAAAACCTATGGCCCCGCATTTAAACTCAATACTGCATTTGGGTAAAAACTGTTTTTGAATCTGCTTGTCCTTGCTTTCAATACCCTGAATCTCCTTCCTGATGGTAATAGTTTAAAGAGCTGATATCCCGGATGAGAGGAGTCTTTCAGTATGTTAGATATCTTCCTCTTACATCTGTTCTTATACAATTCTTCCAAAGAGAGGAGTGAACAGCCAATGATGTTTTGGGCCGTCTTAATCACCCTTTGAATTGCCTTTTTCTCTGCCACTGTGCAGCTCGTGAACCATACACAGAGACAGTAGGATAATATGCTCTCAATCGAACTCCGATAGAAGGTGATTAACAAACTCTCAGTCAATTGTTGCTTTCTAAGAATCCTTAGAAAATACAACCGTTGTTGCGCCTTCCTGATTAACGCAGCGGTGTTTGCACTCCAAGTCAGGTCATTTGTTATGATAGTCCCAAGAAACTTACATTCAACCACCTGTTCCACACAAACTCCATCTATATACAGTGGCTGAATGTCTGCTCTTTTTATCCTATAGTCCACTATGAATTCCTTGGTTTTTTGGATGTTAAATAAAAGATTGGTTTTTTTGCACCAGCGGGATAGCTGTAATACCTCGTCCCGATACGCAGACTCATCATCCCCAGAGATAAGTCCTACTAGTGTAGTATCGTCTGCAAATTTGATAATCCTATTACTGGGATGCTTATTGGTGCAATCTGATGAATAAATGGAGAACAGTAGTGGACTAAGGACACAGCCTTGTGGAGTGCCAGTGCTGAGTATCTTGTCAGTAGAGATGTAATCATTCAGTTTAACCCTTTGTGGACGATTTGTTAAAAAATCCAAAATCCACAGACAGATAGAATCTGGAAAATCAAGATCTTTAAGTTTGTCTATTAATCTGTGGGGTATAATGGTGTTAAAAGCAGAGCTAAAGTCCGCGAACAGCATTCTTACATAATTCCCTTGTGTTTCCAAGTGGGATAAAGCCATATGAAGCACAGTATTGATCGCATCCTCGGTTGATCTATTTTCTTTATAAGCAAACTGAAGCCCATCAAAGGGATCAGGAAGGCAGGAGATAATATATTTCCGAACTAACTGCTCAAAGCACTTCATTAAGATTGAAGTTAGTGCCACCGGCCTGTAGTCATTCGGACTGTTTGTAGGCAACTTTTTAGGCAGTGGAACGATGACGGAAGCCTTGAGACAGACGGGAACTGCGCATAGTGTCAGGGATCGATTAAAAATTACAGTCCATATCCCGGCTAGCTGATCAGCACAGTCTTTTACCACCCGACCAGGAATTAAGTCGGGTCCAGCTGCTTTTCTGGAGTTAACCACTTTCATAGTCTGTCTCACATCCTGCTCATTCACAATGAAGGGGGGACTCTGCTGAGTAAATGATGGCAAACGAACAGTTTCAGTTTGATCGATCTCGAATCGAGCAAAAAAGTTGTTCAACTCCTCAGCCACCTCCACACCTCCGCCCGAGGAAACCTTTTTTGCTTTGTAGTTTGTTAGTTGTTGAACCCCCTGCCAAACTTGCCTCATGTTATTGCTGAGAAAGCAGTCTTCAATTCTCCTCTCCTGAATCATTCTTCAGGTGCCTGTGTATTTTTTTTCCAAGAGTAGAGCATCATACGTACATCACATATAGAAGGATATGTTATTGTGTTAACCAGAAATCTCTTCAGTACTAGAAAAGCTTTTGTTCTGTATGGCTGCTCCTGTGTCTACTGCTAAATGGCCAGCAGCTTCATCTTGTGTGTAAACGTTGTCAGTCTCAGCTCATCTGTTAGACTTTGTCTCTACAGCAAGGCGTATTTTATCGTATAGTTTGTCTCTGCAATAAACATAAAATTCTTTCTTGTTGATGAATAAAAACTACTTGAAATTCAGCTGCACTCATTACTCCAGTGAGAGCAGAATTTTTCATACTCTTTTCTGAAAAGTAGAATTTGATTAACTATCATGTTGCAGAAACCTTCTTTCATCATGTTTTGTACATTGTAATTGGAAACTAATGTACCTTGCCAAAGCCATGTTCCACTGAGAATCTGTTCAGTACTAGCAGGCATTCACCTAAATCGGAAATATTTTTCTTACATATTTTCTGCCGCATAAGCATACATTTTAAGTTCATACAATTAACATTCTGAAACAATTACAAGAAATGTTACTATTTTCATTCCTGAAAGTTCATCGTGTCATATACTTTTTCTGTGGAAAAACAATACTAGGATATTTCTGATTTTTGTTAGGATAGGTTTAATACAAGAGATACAGTCATGATGTGGGTTCTCTCCCTCCCTCTCCCTTCCTTTTCATCCCTCCGTCCCTGAAGCATATTATATAGAAAAGGGAAAGAAGAGAGTGAACCACCATGAAATAACGATTTGTTAAAATGGCAGGTGTTTGTATTATATTTTCACAGTCTGTGCTTTTCTTTATGTAGTTTACACAGTACCTGGAGAAGGAATGAGTATGACATTTTGTATGATTTGTGATTTCTTACTATTATCCAGTCTTGTATTCATTTTCTGAATGATTTTCTTGAAGCAGAATTGGTAGGATAACACAGCCTTCATCATGGGCAAAACTCACACAGGCTGTTAGAGCCACAAGATCTGTGGCAGTGATTTCAGAACATTCCTGTTGTATTATTAGCAGTGAAATAGTATTTATAGATAAACACATTTGATGGTTTCCTCCAAGTGGGAAGACTTTTGTTACAATCTAAGTAAAGAAAACAGTATTCTGCAAATTAGAACTAATAATATTTCTCTATAGACATGTCCACCTATGACTCACTTGTGTGAAAAAATAATCTCAACCCTACCATCATGGAGAAAAATGAATGGTCCCAACCAACTAATGTCACTGCAGCAGTTTGTGTATGATGTGCAGGATCAGCTTAATCCATTAGCAAGTGAAGATGAACTAAGGCATATTGCCCAGCAGCTACACAGCATAGGAGAAGTAAGTATTGTGCATCAATACAAGATTAATTTTATTATATCTGTTCTGCCTGCCTTACATTGTGATGATCAAAGGAGTTCACTGAACCTGGGCTTGGTTTGGTAGTCGACCATAACTTGGGGTTCTGACTTCCTTTCCTCACTTCAAGTCTATATTGTTGTTATTGTTTAGTCATTAAGTTGTGTCCAACTCTTTGTGGCCCCATGGACCAGAGCACGCCTGGCCCTCCTGTCTTCCACTGCCTCCCGGAGTTTGGTCAAATTCCTGCTGAATTTAATTCTGTTGTTTTCAGCCCAGTGCTGAAGCTTATCAACATCATTTTGAATTTTTGTTTGTTTTCCAGAATAATAGGTATTCTATTAAATTTTCTGTCATCTGCAAATTTAATAAACATTTCCTGCACCTCTTTATCCATGTCATTAATAAAAGGTTGTGGCTACCAAAGTCCCAACTGGTAACAAAAGTATTTTATTCAGTCTTTTCTACTATAATGAAAATTAGGCATGATATTTTTAAATTTTTAATTACTATTACAACAACTATTCACCAGGAATCCTTCCAACCAGAATTCTGGCAGCTGTAGCCAAAAAAATTAGGTTCTCAAAGGATTTTCAGCAAACACATCTGAGGCCTTCCATGCAGCTATTGCAAATGAAGAGAGTATATGAGGATCCTGTCGACATTATCAGACTGTAAAAACTGAAACTTCTCCAGTTTCAGATGGACAAGGAGGGACCATAGTTACATCCATAGGACCTATATTAACTACAACAGAGTCAGAGCAGATCCAAATAATTTTGCCTATTCGAACCTGTGGTCCCCTATGAGCAAAACAAAAATGGTGCTGTATATCCAGAGTTGTGCCATGGTATTCTCCTGATTGTGCGTTTCAAACCTCAGTTCTCAAATGTGTAAATTTGTCCATATGTTTCTTTTTTTTCAAATGTTGGTATTTTAATTCAGTGTCATCCTTAAATTTCGGTAATTGCAAACAATTTTGTGTCATTGTGTGCAGTTTGCTCACAACCCAAAATCAAAGCAGGGATTCTTTACTTAGCAGCAATCTGCCAGTGATGTCATTTCCACTATCCTGGTAGAGCTACATAACAGCACATTGGCCTATATAGCTAAATAGTTACTGCCTACAGCACCACTTTGACTAACAAGATATATAATTTATCTAATTTCTATATAACATATTTTCATAATATCTTATGTAAGATGAGGCAAATACATAAATACTTACTTGCCTGAAAACCACCCAGTGAACTTCCAAAGCTGAATAAAAACTTCAATTTTCTACATACTGTCCAAACTCCTTATCCATTTTTACAACTAATCTGTATTCTTCCCTTCAAGCCATACCAGAATGCTTTTATTTTGTAAAATTCCTAATATTTGTTCCTGTGTTTTAGCTAAATTATTTTGTTGGAATCAATGGGAAATTGTATTTTAGATGCCAGAATGACTTGCACCCAAAGAAGGTACTTTCCTCTCAAGGGGATTGCTTTAAACGTTGCTGAAATTCAATTGCAATGTAATTTATTGTTGTTATATACTGTCAAGTCACCTCTGATTTATGGTGCGCCAATGAACAAGCCATCTCCAAAATGTCCTCTCCTGAACTGCCCTGCTCAGCTCTTGTAAACTCAAGCCTATGTATTCCTTTAGGGCAGGGGTCAGGGAACTTTTTTACCTTTTACCCCCCCAAAAAATTATCGGGGGTCACAGAACTTTTTTACCTTTTACCACCCTAAAAATTTATATACGTTGACATTACCCCCCCCTTGGCTCTTGCCGTCCGCGGCCGCCCACCGTCCCGCCTCTGCGCTCGCCTGGCATCTGTGGGCACCGTCTGGGCAGCCAGTCTGGAGCTGCTACACTGCTGGGAAAGCGTGTCCTTGGCGAGGGGAGGCAGGCACCGCAGGGCCGGCAGGTCCACTGGCCATGAGCTCAGGTGAGGCAGGGTGGGAAGGAGGCCTCCTCACCAGTGCACGGGGCAGATGGGCATGGGCAGGAAGGAGAGCCCAGCCAGGTCTCTGCCGGGCAAAGAGTCCAGCTGGCCTGGTACGCTGCCCTTCCCCCATACTTCGGAGGCGAGGAGGGAAGGCAGGTGCCCTGTTCAGTTCCTCACCGGTGCTTGCTTTCCCCGTGACAGAATGCCCGCCTACACACAGCATCATTGGAAATAAAATGCCTGGATGTAAAATGCCTGCCGCAACCGTTCTCATTACCACCAGGATTTTCATTTTTTATCCCATTTGGGGTAATTTTCCCCTGTTCCTTGACCACTGCTTTAGGGGGTCAGTCCATCTTGTCTTTGGTCTTCTTCTTTTGCTGCTGCCTTCAACCTTTCCAAGCATTATTATTTTTTCCAGAGAATCTTGTCTTCTCATGATGTGCCCAAGGTAGGACAGACTCAGGTTCAACATTTTTGTCTGCAGAGGTGGCTTAGGCTTAATTTGATCTAGAATCTGCCTATTTCAACTGTACGGGCTGTCCCACAAATGTTTGCAAAGCAACATAAGCAGTTACTACTACTCCACTCATGGTTATTTGTATCTAACCCTATGACTGACATTCTATTATATAGTATAGTAAGTTGAAACTAGAGTAGGGCCATTTAATAAATGAGGATTTGGTGAGACAACTCCTCTGTAATTTCCTTTGTCTCAGTGAGCCTTTTCTAGTTGTAACTTACTTTGCTAAGTAACTGAATTTGAGTCTACATGTTCTTAACAGTAAACATTACTGTTTATTAAAGAGCGAGATCCAATTAATGCATGATAGAAAGTAAACAGATGCCAGCCTATGTGTATATCCACAAATGTGTTTTTCAGAATTGCACATTCTACAAAAGTCGCAGGACTGAGAATCTGAAAACATGTTGTCCCTTTACAGTGAATGGCTCACTTTTTATTGGCTACTTGAGAGGAACAATTGTTATTACCTATCTTGGAGGGAGGGGTTTCTCTTGTATTTGGAACTGACTTCAGACTTGCCTTTTATTCAATAGATCAATATAATGCAGAGTGAGACAGTCCAAGATGTTGTCCTTTTGGATCCTCGCTGGCTATGTTCAAACGTCCTTGGAAAACTCCTGTCTGTAGAGAACCCAAAAGCCCTCCACCACTACAGAGGTCGATACACAGTAGAAGACATTCAGCGCCTGATACCAGACAGTGATATCGAAGAACTTATACAGATATTAGATGCCATGGATATCTGTGCTCGTGACCTCAGCAGTGGAACAATGATTGACATTCCTGCCTTAATCAAGACTGATAGCCTCCATAGATCTTGGGCTGATGAGGAAGATGAAGTTATGATTTACGGTGGTGTGAGAATTGTTCCTGTGGAACACCTAACTCCTCTTCCTTGTGGAATTTTCCACAAAGTTCAGGTGAACCTGTGTAGATGGATTCATCAACAGAGCGCAGAGGGAGATGCAGATATACGTCTGTGGGTAAATGGGTCAAAGATCATGAATCGTGGAGCTGAGCTTCTTGTGCTTCTTGTCAACAATGGTCAAGGTATTGAGGTTCAGGTTCGAGGCTTGGAAACAGAGAAGATCAAATGCTGCTTACTCCTGGATTCTGTATGCAGCACCATAGACAATCTGATAGCCACAACATTACCAGGCCTCTTGACTGTCAAACATTATCTCAGTCCTCAGCAGCTGAGGGAACACCATGAGCCAGTAATGATCTACCAGCCAAGAGATTTTTTCCGGGCACAAAGTCTAAAAGAGACGTCATTAACTAACACAATGGGTGGCTATAAAGAAAGCTTCAGCAGTATATTATGCTTTGGGTGTCTTGATGTCTACTCACAGGGAAGTTTGGGAATGGATATCCATATATCGGATCTGAATCTGCTTACAAGGAGGAAACTGAGTCGGCTTCTGGATCCACCTGATCCTATGGGCAAGGATTGGTGCCTTCTTGCTATGAATTTGGGCCTTCCTGATCTTGTTGCAAAATATAATACAAACAACGGGGGTCAAAATGAATTTGTACCAAGCCCATCCTATGCCCTTCTGCAGGAATGGGGAAATGCTCCAGAAAGTACAGTGGGTATTCTGATGTCCAAACTGAGGGAACTGGGCCGCAGAGATGGAGCTGACTTTTTATTGAAAGCATCCTCTGTGTTCAGAGTCACTTTAGATGCAAATGGACAAGAAGCCTACGCTTCAAGCTGTAACAGTGGGACCTCTTACAATTCAATTAGCTCAGTTGTCTCTCGGTGAGAAACAAAGTTCAAAAAGCGCACACTTTTTAGATTGTGATAGTGAGCAAGGATTCCATATGGCAGTTATGTGTGTTTCTACATTACTGAGCTGCCACCATTCCCCCACATCCTTTTTTTAAGTGACCAATCTTCCTACTTTTAAACTGTGACCTGTTGCTTTTATTTTAATTATAAAAGGCTGGTAAATTTCTAGTACCTTATAGTCTGTTTCTGGGTATACATTGTGCTGCTTAAGTAATATTTTAACTGGGAAGACTCCAGCTTTTCAGTGAGCCAACTGTTGTTTTTTAAATCATTTTTATTAACAGAAGACAACTATGTAATGTGATTAAAGCTCATGTCTTATGTCCTCATTTTTATTCATTATGCTTGTTTAATTTTTTAAAAAAAATATTTATAGCAAAGTAGTGCTAGTCTGTTTGGATTTTAACACCATGCTTAGAAACGAAAAAGCGAGTGCCTTTTGCAGAAGATAATGTGGTTAAAATCAAGTGATCCTGCTGAAGCTGTAAGACAATGCTACCTCTATTTCACTGTCTGCATGCTGGTTGTTACAAGTGGTGCTTGCCTTTGTGTTTTGCTGGAGTCAAGATGTTTGGTAACAAGAAACTTGTTCTGCTGAAGAGCTCTTGTGTCGGACCATGAGGGTAGAAACATGTATGACATTATAGGTTCTTATTTCCATTGAAGAAGAATGGAAACGTTAAAATCTCACTTGCACCTTCCATTATTTCCATGTATCTCAGGTAAAGATTTTACACAAGTGTAAAGTTCACCAAGGCACATACACAAGTGTTAGCTAAATGGACTTATTCTGTATTTAACAGTGATCATTTGTGCAAAGCAAATGGATTTTCACCTTCAGATACTAGTGTGCTTATTTCTTATACTTGAAGGTTTGGTATTTTTTTTTAATTGAGGAAAGCAAGAATTTCTTGCAGTGAGAGAAACTAAATTGGTATGAGGGGAAAAGACCATTTCTTCTGTTCTGAAAAGCATGTAATTTTAACGGTACAAGATATATTAAGTGTATATACATATATAATTTATGTATATATTAATACTGTTTTCCCTTAATCTTTGTTGTGGTAAAATTTAAAAGGATTTTTTTACAAATAAATTGTTGCTTGTTGCAACTTTTTAATTGCTCCTTATTTCTTAGATGCAATCCTATCAGTAACCAACAAACTGAGCAGAATTCTATGGTTTTACTGTACTAACATGACTTCAGTTGCAACTAAGTGGCAGTGTTACAACTAAGGTACCATTTCACACACTGCAGTTTTTCTATATAGAGACTGAAGGACAGACACTTTTAAGAAGTAAAGCACAATATATCTCAAACTAGGTAGCCAGTAATACTGCTAGAAGCCACACAAGAGGAAAACTAGCTTATCTCCTTTTTTTTCTTTATTATCTTATGTATCGGGGAGTGTTGGAGTGCAATCCCAGACAAATACAAATGCGAAAATGTACAAGCATGTTTTTGAAGGTTTGCTTTGCTAAGTAGTCTGTTTTTTGAGTGTGTGAAAAGGAAATGGCTTTTAGTACAAACAATATCATTCCTGGCAAATGACTGTGATAATTTCCTCTCACAGTGATGATTCTGCAGAATTTGAAACAGGGTGTGATTTATTTAACATTGCAGCACAATTCTGTGTATGAGATGTTAACACAGGAAAGACTGAATCACATGCATCTGAAGACAGTATTCAGGGTTCTGTACATTATATATTTGCATTTATGGATCTAAAAAACAGTAGTCCTGTAGTGTCTTTTTTAAAAAAAGGAATTATTATTGGTAAGATGACTGGATTGGATTTCCTTTTTTTACTTTGAAATTCTGGTTTAATGTATATGGCTTTCATTTTTCAAATTAATTTTTATCCTAATGCTCATTTATATCCCATAAATGTGTGACTACATGTGGATTTTTCTTTATGACATACTGATTAGTTTATTTTAGGAGTAGGACAGATACTTTGCTTTTCACAGCCATGCCTTGTACTATCAATAATGAAAATATTGTTTAATAAATTGATCAATTAAATTTTAAATTCTGACAGAATATTGATAAAATACTACCAGAACCTAGAACCTCTTTATTAGTATGGCAACATTCCAGTGTGATTTCTGCCAGGCTGCTAAAGAATTGACATTGGAACAAAATACCTGTGCTACATTGTTGGAGGGTAGCCTATTGTATAGCTTCACCTACTCAGTGGGAATAATGTTAACAGCTACAGCAAGTCACTTCTAATTAAAGAGTTTGTCCTGTGATGTCAGAGTGTGCACAGCTCATGTGCAACGATGCAAAGTTGCACACACCCTTGAATTAGTGGCAATCTATCATGGCTACTGATACTACTTCTGTTGCATTAACAGAGCTATACAAACGATAGTAACCATAATTTTGAAAAGAATAATAATAACATTGTTTATAAAAATATAATTAAGATAACAAATAAAGAAAATTAGTGGAATTCTGTATAGTAGGCTTTCAACTTTTTATGCTATTGCTGGCATCCATTCCTTTAACCATGGTTCAGAAATCTTAAATGCTTGGCAGTTAAGTGGTCTGGCTGCATTTTAAATCTAATGCCTTAATACTTTGAGATGAGCCATGAAGGGTTCAATATGACAAGAGCTGCAGTCCAGCCTTTTCTGACACTCATTTTTACACTTAAGAAGTACATTTTAAGAAATACTTATTTTTCCCTCTTTTGTTCTTAGGTTAAGTAATACAGTATATTGTAAGAATGAGAGAAGCTAACTTATGTTGAGTCAGGCCAGTATGGGGCTTTAGCTACTCTCACAGAGAGAGAACTTTTTGTATGTGAAAAACTTGGTTTTAGAAACCCTGCCCCCATAGATATAGGTGCACTGTTAACACACGATTGTAGGGTAAGACCTGTGGCCTATTCTAGCTAATTATGAATATGTTGTACGCAGCATACTTTGCTCATTTGCTCCTGGTTTGTACAAACAAATAAAATTAATCAACAAAGGTGAGTTTATTATGGCTACAGAATAAGGCAAGATTAATGAAACAACAAATCAGAACTGTTGCTTATAATCCTGGCTTGTTTGGCAGCAATAAACTAGGTTTTCAGGTCTGGAGATACATCATAAGGTATTCCAGGGTGAGAAATTTGTGGCCCTTCAGATAGTGCTGAACATCAGTCAATAAGCAACGGCTATGAAGTTGAAAAATATATGAGGGCCACATATTTCCCATTCCAAGTTATTCCTTCATGCTTAGATTTACCTGTCAGGCAAAGGAAGGCGTGCAATTGGCAAACCTGGCTGCTCCTGCCTGCTGTTTATTCTCAGTAAACCATATTTCCAGTCTAATTGTTATATATGAACATCACTTCCAACTTTCCTAGAAAAAATATATGGTGGCACAATGTCCAAAATTAAAGTCCTGCAGTCCAAAAGTAATCTCCTTATGCCCGACTACTTTACTATCTAACAAGAATATATTTGATTCCATTCATTCTTATAACTTGGGACTTATTCTCTAGAACTACCTTTTTCAGGAGTGCATGAAGGGAGAATAAATAAAATAATCGTGAGTCAAACATGTGACTCAGATACACAAGGTTTAAAGTTTTGTCATTCCCAGCTGTCCTGTTAAGAAACTTCAAAAAGAGCTAGTTAGAGATAGGTCTGATCTTGTTGAGGTTGCAGTTTCCATGGTATCTTCTGACTCATAGCCAAGAAATTACCCTGGTCAGACTTCTTGTTTCTCTTGCCTATTGCATTCCATAATTTGATCACATGAAATAAAATAATAACTGCTTCATTTTTGTGATATTTTGTTGATTTTTAACTTTCTGCCTTTATGACCAAGTCCTGTGATTTGCAGTTAGAAAAGAAATTGTTGAAATCCTGTTGTATTGTATAGTAAGTTGCACAATAGTAAGACCATTGAATCAGGGGGATTTGGTTTGTCAACTCTTCTGTAAGTTCTGTTTGATTCAAATGGGCCTACTCTAGTCGTGATTATGCTGCAGTAAGTTACAACTAGAGTAGGCACTTTTGAACTTACAGAAGAACTCACCAATCCTCACTAATTCAATGAGCCTACTCTAATGTTGTGCTAAGCAACAGTTTAGCCCAGTATAAGTCACAGTGAACATACGAAAACACTTTGCAAATTACTCTTTTATGTTTTGTATGAATATAAATATTGCTCACTGCCTGGAGCTGATGAATTCAACTATCATGATTCTGTATTTTTGTTTCCTAGTACCCAACGCAGAGTGTTCTATAAATTTGAATCAGGTCTGTGAAACAACCACCGTTAACTAAGTACTGATTTGAACTTAAAACTATATACAGTATTACAGTTTTAATTCATGAATAAGGGTATCTAAATATATCTATGTTTAACTATGGAGCTACTAAACTGAATTAGAGTTATCTTCTTCAAGTCACTACTGTTGGATCATAGGAACTGTAGCATCCAATGTAGTACTACTTAGGACTTTCTGTGAAACCAGAATTAAAAACACAAAGCATTATTATAGCATGAACATTACATCAACATGGCTGTGATTAGGAGGTAAACTAGGATCTACTGTAGCAATTTCTAGAGATGTAGCCATGTTAGTCTGTCTCAACATGTCAGCAAAATTAATGGGGTGGGGAGACAGAAAAAAGGCAAAATGTTGTGGCACTTTAAAGACTAACAGATTTATATAACGGTGAGCTTTCATGAAAGAGGTGGATTTTGATTGATGAAAGTTCGTAGTGAAATAAATCTTAATCTTTAATTTGCCAGAATATTTTACCTCTCTCACACCTCTCTGTAATTTTGCCCAAATGCTGTAACCTACTGGTAGATCTCTGAAAGATGTATGGAAGACTGGCAAGGATTTTAGACTCTCCATTAAAACTGCAGCAGCAAAATGATTCCAACAAAATATATTGCTGAAATAAAAAAGTTGTAGGGATATATTATCGAGGCTGTTTTTTGTTGGAAGAGTTCTAAGCTTCATTCAGTTCTCGCATTTAATTCTTATATTCAGAATTCTTCAATTCCAACTGTGTTTTGCACCAGACACTTGTTGAAAGATCTAGATGCCCAAAGGTATAAAGTCTCACCAGTGTGGACTCTACTGAATCCTAGTTTGTTTATTTGAATCAAATTTAAAATGTTCATTAAATATTAGCAAAAGTATGAATGTATTGTTCTATCTTATATTTCTTCCATGATGGAATGCTAGTCCATGCAGGTACTCAGATGCACACCTACATAGCTTCAGCAAGGCTGCTGCAGGTTTTTCTTTTTTGTGAGTGTCTTCAGATGTTCTTGGAATAATGTAATATTCTAAATAACTG